AACATCATTTAGGCTTAGAGGCAGTTAGGTCAACATCATATAAGCATACAAGGCAGCAGGTAACATTCAACAATAGGCTTCAGTCAACAGCAAAAAACCCTCCCTAATTAGCCCATCAGTTAGGGCCAATTAGAACATCATTTAGGATTAGAGGCAGTTAGGTCAACATCATATAAGCATACAAGGCAGCAGGTAACATTCAACAATAGGCTTCAGTCAACAGCAAAACCCCCTCCCTAATTAGCCCATCAGTTAGGGCCAATTAGAACATCATTTAGGATTAGAGGCAGTTAGGTCAACATCATATAAGCATACAAGGCAGCAGGTAACATTCAACAATAGGCTTCAGTCAACAACAAAACCCCCTCCCTAATTAGCCCATCAGTTAGGGCCAATTAGAACATCATTTAGGATTAGAGGCAGTTAGGTCAACATCATATAAGCATACAAGGCAGCAGGTAACATTCAACAATAGGCTTCAGTCAACAGCAAAAACCCCTCCCTAATTAGCCCATCAGTTAGGGCCAATTAGAACATCATTTAGGATTAGAGGCAGTTAGGTCAACATCATATAAGCATACAAGGCAGCAGGTAACATTCAACAATAGGCATCAGTCAACAGCAACACTCAAGCAATCAGACCATAAATTAGGGCCCAAAAACGTGAACATCATTTAGGCAAAAAGGCTACATACTCACATAGGTGGAAAGTCAAGGAAAACAGTATAATGTCTTCATCAATGTGCCCAGTCAAAACGGAAGTAAATTCAGGGACGGAGGGAGTAACATACACACCATGAAGTAGGCATACAATACATCAATTTTAGGCACCACTCATATATGAATACACACACATATATACATGCATTCAACAAGAGGAACTTATCACCTTGTTTTTTTGTAACCATGGTCCAATCTTTGTTTAGGCAGCCACATTGAAACCAAATGGTCCAATCTTTCTTGAACTCTAGGGTCCGGGTGAGCATGAGCGTACGCAGGTAGAAGATACCCCACATTTTTTGTATCCACTGGCCGAAGGTAGATGTCAATGATATTTTCATTGGAGGCTTCACCTCTTCGGTCCAAATGAATCGCAGGAACAGTCAAAGAACTAGACTCATCCTTTTGTCCTACGAGGCATTGCTCAGATCTCAACCGTTTTCGTCCTTTCATTCCTTCTTCATTCTCAGAAACGAGGACCAACTGAACCTCAGAATCTGGGACAAAATCCGGCAACATCTCAGACTCAGGGACAAATCCGGCCAAGATCTCAGCCTCACGGACTAAATCGGCCCATCCGGAAGAATCCTCTGAGTCCTCAACCACCACACCAGTCAAATCACCGTGCATGCACAAATCAGATGAACTTTCGACCATTATTGGCTTTGAAATTTTAGGTGGGTGTGTGGGTGGGATGACTGCAGATGAATCGACAACGATGGAGTAGAGTTTTCTAGATGGGGATGAAAGGAGTCATGAAAGAACGGAGAGAGAGTGGTTGCGAGAAAAGAGATGAATACGGATGAAGTAATAATGACAAATGGAGAGAAGGTAAGAGTAAATGGAGTCGGTAGATGGGTTGGGTGGGGTAATAACTGGGGTAGATGTGTGAGGGTAATGGGGTAATTTTAACTTAAAAAATTTCCTAATATAGAAAGTGGAAGTTTTTTTGGGACAGCCCAAAAAGGAAAGTTGGAAGTAAATTCTGGGACGGAGGGAGTATTAACTATTAAAGATGACGTGGACAGATTAGGAATTAAAATCAAATTTCATCTCTAATGGTCTTCATCCGTTCAGTAATTAAATAAAAATATTTAATTCATTATTCATACCCAACTTATGACTCACGGCTAATTATTATGTGAAGTACAAGTATGTACGTGGTATGTTTCACACACACACACATTAGCATAGCATAAGATATATGCATACATTATACGTACATGCCATGGGAAAAGGACAAAACCAGTTAACCAGAGGAAGTGCAGCAGAAGAAGATCCATCTGCATTCTGCAAAAAAAAGGCTGGAATGCAACAACCAGTCTCAAGCCAGGGAGGAGATATGATGAAGCACATATTCAAAACCGACTTCATCATCCCAACTTCTTCCGTCCTTATTCGCAAAAATACTCACCAAACTGTCTTGAATAACAATTAACTCACGTGTGCCGATGTGTGTGTATACATATATACATACATTTGCATAGGTTAGATATATATTCAGTGAAGAGTTCAAACGTACAAGCTACTGACGGATTATACATCCTTGACCCTCCTGCTGCTTCCAGAATGTTCATTCAACCGGAAGCCATGCCGGTTTTTCTGTTGCCGGAAAACAAAACAAGCCAGGAAAAAGGGGCTATCACAAGGGGTTGTCCGCTGCTAGATAGTGGGTGTTAGTTGCCGGCTTGTTGCGTTAGGTTACTACTGTTGCACTGCATGCTACATCCCGGTGTGCGTCAGCATGAAAGCGAGCTAGACATCGTCCATTATATCCAATTCCAGGTCATCAACACATTCTGATCCATATTTCCATTGGAGAGATAATTTTATGATTTTTATCTCACTGTCATGTGGCAATGCTATTTTCATCAAGGTACCACTAAAGATGCTCTTAGATCTCCCATGTGCAAGTCATTCTCCCCCGCACATCGCATAGATAGACTTCAAGGCACTATTTTCATGTCATCGTCGACTTCATCACGAACCATCGTTGCCGTTGTTGACTTCACTTTGTGCTTCAGATCGATCAACTTCTTTCTCACGCAGCTGTCAACTTCACCGCACACCACCACTATTCAGGTTTCTTCTTCCTCCTCAATTTATTTGAGTTTTGACATTGATTTTTTGATAAAATTTCGAAATAGAAGTACAAATGTTAGAGAATTTTAAAATATAATTGTCAATTTTTATTCTCTAAATATGACTGATTACTATCAAATTTAAAAAATATTATCATGTTTAAACTCTAGTACAACCAAAACTTGGCAATTATTGCTCTTATTTAGCGAATAAAACATGTTACTCCCTCCGTTCCCAAAAATACTTCTCACTTTCCTTTTTGGGCTGTTCCCAAAAATATTTCCCACTTTCCCATTTAGGACAGTTTGTGTGGCTCACATTCATTTTACCATTTTCTTACACAACCACAACCATACATTTCCACTTTATTCCACTTTCTTAATAAGCGTGCCAAGTCAAACCGGGAAGAATTTTTAGGAACGGAGGGAGTAACATTGTTTTGGAATGTACCGACGTTTTTAGTCCAATTTAAGGTAATTTTCTCTGATTTTTTTTTATTTTGTCAATTTTTGAACTTCTACTTCATATTTCCAATTTCTATTTTTTTTTATAGAAAATCTGGTTTTCCAAAATTTTGGATTATGACTTCATATTTTCCAAATTTATGACAAAATATATGTACATTGACAATCATATTATGGCAGAAATGATTTTGTTTAAATTATTATTTCCTGCTTTTTTGTCATTAGGTTCGTACTTTTATTTTTTTATTGTGTTGGAATGTTTTTAATTGAGTTAAAATTTATGGGCCTAATCTGATTTCGATTGATAAATTTCCGATCTTTGTGTGTTTTATTACTATGAAAGTCTGATTTGATCTGTTTACATCTAATCTAGCCTATTTGAATCTGATCTAGTTTGGGAATGAAAATAGTTCAACTAAAAACATTCTTCGAGTGCTTATTCTATTAAAAACATATTTTCCAAACAATTGATTATTGACTTCATACTTTTAGCAAATTTATGGTAATTTTGTGTTAAGATTAGGGATGGACTGGGCCAGGCCGAACCAGCCCGGAACTGGACCGGCCCGCTATTGTGCAGGTCCGGACCAGGCCCGGTTGGCCGGTTCCGGGCTTTTAGCCCATGTGGGCGGGTCAGGCAGGCCGGGCTCGGGCCCAGTTTTGGGCGAAACGGCCCAGGCGTTTCGGGCCGGGCCCGAGTCAATTTTTTTTTTGTTTTTTCAATTTTTTTTCTTTTCCTAGGGTGGGGGTGAGGGGGGGGGGGGGGGGTCGGGGGATAACAAGAAAGCAAAAAAAAATTAAGTATTGAACCGGGCCCAGCCCGGTTAGGCCCGGACCCGATAGCAACCCGGGCCAGTTCCAGGCCCCAGGAATTGCAAAAAAAGCCCGCCCGGGCCCAGCCCGGAACCGGCCCGGGTCCATCCATAGTTAAGGTTCTAAGATAAATTTGTCAATTTTATGCAAAATTTGAAAATTCATATCCATGATAGATTTGAAATGAATCTTTTTAAGCTAAATTTGACAAATTGATGACAGATTTATGGCACTGAAATTGTGAGAGCAGCAATGGTGCTTTGAAGTGAGGTGGTGGCCCTAAAATTGACACTACCAACATTTTTAATAAAAGACAAGGACAAAAATCAGAGTGGCGGTGGCATGGATGGCAACACGATTAAGCTGTGGTGATTGCTTAATCGGTGTTGCCCTCCATGCTACCGCCACCCTTGGATGGTGGCACCGACAAGGGATTAAGGGAGGCAGTGACAGGTGGCTGCAAGAGATGCTGCAACAGGCTATTCTGGCATTATTTTGCCCCAGCAAAAAAATGCTTTTCCTAGCAAGTAGCAAACATTCACACCCTTCCATTTTCCTAGCAAAATTTTTGGAGGCATTATGTTTATCTGGTAGTTGCCCTTAAAAGATTTCAGTCTTGTATGTGTTAACAAGCCTTGTCTTTTTTTAAGACCTCGAAGTGTGAATTGCAAAGTGAAAACTCTTTTAGACTACATGTTTAGCGGGTGAGTGTTACAACTTAGGGTCTGTAACAGTATTCAGGCCCAAAAACAAAACAAAACAAAACAAAAATGAACTTGGTAGCCATTGAGAAACGGAACTGGTTGGTTTGGTTCCCAACTCCCAAGTATACAATCCAGAACTGACACCGCCCTATCACGGACATGGTTCCATTACCTTACTAGAACCGCCAGTCCGGTATGGTAACCGAGGAAAACCCTGGCCTATTCCGATTTGATTACAAAATTGTGGCCACCCCTAAATAGGTCATTGATCAAGCATCACAGGTGACTAGGTGAGAGAAGTGTTTGAACAAACTAACGAAGTCATAAAAGTCTTCAAAGCATGCTTTCTTCTCATTATTGTTCGAGGCAATGGAATCCACAGTTATGAGGACTTCTCCAATTACAATATAATTCAAATAGATGTAAATGTTGCACTCTCCCCTCACCTGGCCAAGGCTGTTAAAACCTTCTTGCTAATAAAATTCCTATTTCACCAATTCGCATCAAGCAGCTGCGTCACTGATGATAGCGCCATATCTCAGTTCAGAAATTTTGTGAATGCATTTAATCATATATCGCCTGTGCTTCAATTATGCTGTGCTGACTGTTGAAATTCACACACACACAAAAAGTTCATTTTAAAATCCAAATACATAACCACATCAGATTTATATGGGATTTGCAAGGAGAGCCTAATGCCAAGGCGGGATGTTTTCTTCCTATGCAACAATTATTAAGAAGTAAAGCATCATTTCGGCATTTCCTACAAGTACATGAGAACAACAAATTCTATAACACACTGTTGAACTTTGATCAATAATTTTAATAGGTATATTATTTATTACTCCTTCCGTCCCATTGGACTTTGCCAAATTTCTTTTTTATTATTCCCAAAACTTTATCACTTTCCTTTTAAAGTAATGAATTTGTGGTTCTCTTATTTCTCTCTCATCTGCACATATCTCAACCACACAATTTTTACTTTGTTTTTCACACCTAAATCAAAGTTGGCATGTCCATTGGGATGGAGGGAGTAACATATAATCAGATTCAAAGTCTTGGGAGCTGCCTCTTGTCATAATGAAGAGGGAAGACTTTCACCCTATACACTGTTGTGGCGAGACCCCTCCCCCGACCCTCATCTTGCGGGTACACCAATGTGCAGCGAGCTGCCCTTTTTTATACTACTATTAGTTATCAAAAAGAACAAATTGTAACAATTGTAAGAGACGTCTTAACAAAAAGAAATTTTTCAAGTACTTTCACATTATAAATCATTGTGCATAAAAATATATTTTTGGTCAGGATTGAAAAAAATTTACCAGGCAAACCAATTAAACAGATGTGGCCTGTACAGATTGTAGTATAGTAACATGTGTAGCAATAAGCTGAAGATTTAGACTTACTGGTCATCCTTTGAGATACGGTAGTATTTCTCTGCATGCTGTCGTTGACCAATGAGTTGAGCAAACCGCTCGTCGTGTGTGATCACAATCATTTGAAAATTCTCCTGTCCCTTTCTGTCCTCCATGATCCTGCAGAAGAACAATGTGGATACGAATTTGTCTTCCACTCACAAACAGCCAATTTGTAAATATCATAATAATTACCTTAGAAGTGCTGCAGCAAGACTTTCAGAGTTTGGGCCATCAAGGTTTGTTGTTGGTTCATCAAGTGCCAGTATCCCACAGTTTAAGCAAAAAGTTTCCGCTAATGCCAACCTTATTACTAGTGACGCAAGCACCTGAATATGTAGCAGTAATAAATTCACATTATAGACCTTAAAAACCTAAATCAAAGAACATGAATTACCTTTTGACCAGCACTACACCTGCCTCGCATTTCAAGTTCTGTTTCTCCGGTTTGCATCAGTAACTATAAAAAAAACAAATAGTTCAGCTCCCAATCACTAACATAGATAGACGGGGCAACCACCAAGTTCAGGAAAAGAAAGTTTTACTTTAATGTGAAAATCCATATGACTGAATTATTTTTCCAGCCCACCCTTGATTTGATTTTTGGGGCTTCTGCATACAGCCTAAGGCCATTACTCCAAAAGTAAGGCGACAGCCACACATTCAAAAAACAGAGTTCAACATCACATGTTAGCCCATGTCGCATTATACATATTTTTTGTTCATACCAGGTGATCCCAACTTCACCGGGCTAAACCTGGGTTCTCAAGAACCCACCACAAACCCTTGCGAGAAGTAAATCTAATTCACTCACACAATCTGCTAGATTCCCACGTGCACAAGAAACTGCTCTCTGATTGATAACATGTGTCCTCAGGTTCCCAGCACTCTCAGGAAAACCGACACTGATTATTAAAAAATCATTGGATTCTCAACAAGAAGATAACTCTCACACTTGAATTCAAGACCTCCCACAAGAGTAAGATCTTAAATGTGGGAACTGGGAAGTGGTCCGCTTGGAACACTCCCACATTTTAGGGGTTGGTACTTGGTACATTTTATGTCAATATGGTCTTATGGACAAAAACTAACAGGTATGCAATTCATTTATTCAACGTTAAATGCCTGCATGGGATTTTATATATGTTATTATTAGTTGCACCTTGCATCTAATTTAATCGAACAATTAGTTCAGTGGTGGATGAAAGCAAATGATTGCATGAGAAAATTGCAATTTCAGTCCCTCAAATAGTACTCACAATGAAATGTAGTCCCTGTGTATTCAAATTTGTAAATGTCACCCCTTAATTGTCCGAATTGTTGTAAATGTGGTCCCTTGAGATGTCACCCCTCAATTGTTCGAATTGTTGTAAATGTGGTCCATTGAGAGGTGTCATTTACAATGCGGACACTATTTGAAGGACTAAAAGTGCGATTTTCCCTGAATGCATTTATAACCCTTCAGCCATTACTCGACTGATAAAGAAATATTAAACTAAATGATCTGAAAGTCTAGAACACCTCCAACATTCTCCATATAAAGGGCTCCTAGGGTTGGAAAGCAATTGTAGTGAAAACATGGGTAATGTTTGCTAAGCAGTATTACAATGGAATGCAATATAACCAAATATGTTTCTATTTTAAACTTAGTTCATTACATTACATTACATAACATTACGTCTTACCAAAGACACTTAGTTTAAAGCATGTGAGTTTTTTGGAATCATAGATGGTAAAACATTTACTCTTAGCGCAAGTTCTTTTTTTCACTTCATTGTCAGCTTTCTAGCCCGGGAGCCTTTGCGGCACTGGGGTAAATGAAAATGATGATTGTCAGCTTTCTAGTGGCTTCTAAGTCCCTGGTATTTAACAATAAATAAACAAATACGCCATTTGTCCAGCAATTAAATTCTCAGTTTCCCACTTTGACTAGCTCACATATTGAGGCGAGTCAAATTTTTTGTCCCTACTTTGCCCCTACTTCACTAATTTATGCTTTTCCTTCTGATTTTTTTCATCTTTGTGGGAATGAGAACTTTTTAGGGGGGACATGCGTAAAAGAAAAGTGAGAACGAAATTGCGGGGCAGAGCGAGTGGATAATAGAAAAATAAATGAAATAGAATGGCAGTAATAGTTGACGACAGTACTGACCTTATAGCTATAAGATCGAGTGCCATAAACTTCAGAGTCCGAATGAATGCTTATGTAATCTATATCTTGTCCCCTGTATGTCTGCTGCCAGAGCTCACGAATAATCTTATTGATTTCTTCCATCTTCATTGTGTGGAATCGCATGAGTGCCCTGAAACAATCATACCCAAGAAAAAGTTAAATGCTAATAAGTTAAGGGAAAAGGTCCAAATAGACCCTTTTTATTTCAAATTCAGCACTTAAGTCCATATACTAAAAAAGGTATCATGCAAATACAATAACTTTGAAAAACAATCAATCCGGCGTTTTCAGATGTTTTGACCTGCTATAGCAGATTAGCAGATCTTTTTTAGAAAATAACTAAGAAAAATGATAGAATGCAAAGAAAAGTGGAAAAATTTATAAATGTAAAAGTTGATATTTTTTTGTGGGTTGGAAATTCATGCAATTTACATTTCTTTATGTTTAATATTTTTTCCATTTTAACTTTACAGTACGATTCGATTTTTATTTTTTTATTTAACGTTTTGAAATTATTTATCTGTTTTAGTATATTTTTATACTTTTTATATTTATATTTCTATGTTTTTCAAAATTGTGACTATACAAATTTATAAAGTTTCTTTTTTCAAAAAAATAACCTGTAAAATGGTAAAATTGATTGTATATGACACTTTTTAGTATAAACACTAAAGTAATTGATTTAAAATAGTAAAAGGATCTATTAAGACAATTTCTTATAATAATTTATCAACAAGAAGACTAATTATAGATATATAACAAGTAAAATCGAGTAGAATAATAAAAATTGCAAGAACCATCACAATGTTGTAAGATATGTTGGGATAACCATCACTAATACAAGGGATCTATCTAATCCATCTCAATTGACCACATCTGACATTTAGCCACTCCCAAAATACACACGTGTTTGTGTTATAGTTTGAGGAACTATTCCATAGGATGCAATCAAAATAGAGTGGATATGCTGAGTTAAATGTATAAAACAAACAGAGTTGGAAGAGAGATGACATTTATAGACGCGCATAAGATGAGAAGACTAGCTTTTTATGAGTCAATGGTGCTAGTGTACAGTTGATGACTCAATGTGCACCCTCATACGCTATTCCTAACATGCAATGATCCTAAGAACTATTATCAAGTCTTCGCCTAAAAGAAAATGACCATAAATTTCAACCTCCAAGATTTGTCCATTTAAAGAAACAACCTGATGGGGCGGGGGGTTTGTTTAGGATGCAAAAAATAACAATCAAGGGTCTACCCTTCTAGAACTTAGCCTAAGTGGAACCTGTATTTGATAAAGAAAAAATAGTTCCAAATAAACTTAACATAATTGTTTGAAACATATTAAACACATAGGAGATAATTTTCTCAAGAGTACAAGCCAGACTAAGAAGCTCACTTATCAAGGGCATGGTAGTATCTATCCAGGTCCTTATTTGCCATCTCAGTTGTCTGTTGAAGAACATACACATGTCTTACACAACTATTAGACTCGTGAGATAAACGTAAATGTAATATATCATCATTATCATTACCCCAGTGCTGCAAAGGCTCCCACCTACAGTGGGGAAACATAAATGTAATATAAGCAACTCAAATTAAATTGTAATGAGATTACCTTTAGCTGAATCATCTGATCAAAATAACGTTTGTCTATATCCTTGTATTGTGCTTGTTTAAGATCACTTTTATTATTGGATATATTTCTCTCATAAACAGTGGTAGTACCACAGCATCTGTTTAGCTGCAATAAGAAGTAATAAATAAATTCATATAACTAAGGGTTTTAACCACAGCAACAATAATAAACAGTGATAGCACCACAGCATCTGTTAATAGTACTAATAACAATAACAATAACAATAAAATACTAAGATCAAATCATAAAGACGCAAATGAGATAAAAAAGTTTCATACTCCCTCCGTCCCTAAAAAGATTGCCAAGTTTGACCGGCACGTAGAATATTAAAGTAAAAACTGTGTGATAGAGATTTGTGCAGAGGAGAGAGAAACAACAGGAGCCACAAATTGATTGATTAAACGGGAAAGTGGCAAAGTTTTGGGGACAATCAAAAAAGGAAAGTTGGCAAAGTTATAAGGGACGGAGGGAGTATGAGATTGTGATATATATTAGAATATGCTTTAGAATATTTTAGGAATATACTCTAGGATATTATTGTATAGAATCTTATAGGAATATTCTATCCTTGTAATGTATATTTATAGGGACTTGATCCTCCAATGAAACACACAGAAAATCTTTCCTCTTCTCTTCAATATTATATTTTTAGTTTGTATTTCAGCAGAGATCATAGACATTCAGACGAGATGAAGCAATTAGATTAGATCATCATATCTTTAAAATGGGATAAAAAGCATTCAGATTAGACAACAAAACAGCTTAGTAAGATTTTTATTATCGCCATCTTTCTTAAAAAAGTAATGTGTAAGTTAACTGCCCTTGACTGTGTCTCTTTAGCAATCAATACCAAAATGCAGCTAGAGAAATCAATTATTGTATTAAAAATATATAAGCCCCTATGCAGTTTTAAGCAGTACTTCGAGTTCCCAAATGAATTATACACCAAGAATATTTAATTTGTTTTCAAAACCAAGGGCCAAAACCAAGGGCCAAAACCAAGGGCCAAAACACTTAAACTTATATGAAGCAAAATCAAATCTAATCCTCCAAAGGTGTCCATATTGATTGTCCATGTAGGAATAAGACAACGCAGCGGTGGAGTTGCATACCTAGTGGCATATCGTATTGAACGTGAAAACTAATCAAAAAAGTACTATACCTCTGAAAGAAGCCTCTCTCGTTCTTGCAAAAGCCTTGCATTCTCAGCCTCAACGCCACACACACTTCCAAGTTTCACCACTTCCTCTTCCAGTGATTCAATTTCACGAGTAAGCTGATGAACGTCAGCCTTGGTTTTCCTATAAATCAAGTTATCCTCAATGTTGCGTCTCAACTGGTCCTGTCTCATCATAAATTCATTGTTTTTGGTCAGTTCTTCAGATATCTCCTGCAATCTAGACTCACAGTTTTGATGTTGAGATTCTGTGAGATTTTTCTTTTCTTTCAGCTCCTTCAATTTCTCTCCTTTCTTCTCAGTATAGTATCTGCATGGAAAGATGGTCATTTTTCAAATGGAAAAGAATCATACAACTTGTAAGTAACAGAACATAACATACTTTTGTATTGTAGAAGTCTTGCCCTCCAATGCTTTCATTTCACTATCAAAGTTTGAGCAAAATTTTGACCTCTCTGCAAGCTCTTGATCAACTTTCTCTTTCACACCATCGTAGTCATGGCGCAACTTGTCTTTTTCTTTTAATAAAGGACCCAAAGCCTCTTTCATGTGCTGAAATTTTAATATCCAGTACATGACTAAACTATTTGTTCCAATTCATATACAATGACTTTTATTTAGTATAGTATACTCATTAATAAATTACATAACAATTTCAAGTCAGGGAATAATTGAAGCAAAAGAAGAAATGTTTCTGGATAGAACCTTGAGTTTAGTGGCCTAGTTCCCTTTTCATGCTTGAATTTATTAGAATTGTGTATTCTAAAGACGACACATCCAAATTGAGGAAGACAAATTATTCTATTATTATGTACATTTCTTCCTATTGATGAAAATTATACAACTGTCTAAATCAAACTAAAAAATTATGCCAAGAAAAAGACAAGTTGTTGAAACCCTAGTTATATTGGGCTTAGCCCTACTTGTATAGAAACCCTGATCTCTACATTATAGCTATAAATAGTAATTTCTAAACTGTTAATAGTAATTTTTTAGCAATTTGTTTTCCATTAAACTGTTAATACTAATTTCTAAACGATTCATAGTAAATGCTTTAATAAACTTTTATATAATAAATTATTTATGATAGTAAGATGTCATATAATTTGACATCTTACTATCATAAATAATTGATTATATATAATGATGAGGTCATATAATTGTTATACAACAAACTTATAAACTCATATAACACAGAGTTAATATTTGTTTTTGTTAAACTGATTAAAGTACAAATTTAAACAATCTGATGGTACAAGCCATTTTTATTATAATTTAAAATTGATAAACTTTCTGGTTGGGATTAGGGTTTAGGGCAGATTGTTATGTGGTTATAAATTTAAATAATTTAAGTTATTTGACAAATGTAAAAAAAAATATAAAAAGAGAACAGAGTAGAAGGGAACAAAAAATAAAAAAACATTTGGAGAAGCAATGTCTAAGATTAGAGACTTAGAGATGTGAATCGCCAAAAGGCTTTCGAGAAAGAAGAGTGGACATCATCCAAGAGGTGAGGTATAAGGCGCGCTTGTTAGCATCTACTGAACCTGAGACTTTTGGGTGTGATAAAACCAATGCCCAGAAGCACCTCGCACCTGAGGCGCCCTTTTTTTAAACCATGCCTAGAATTATTATCAACTCATGGGCAAATCCTTTTCAATTCTTTGCTTCCGACTATGATTGAAGCCTTTGCCAAAACTCTTTGAGCAGCCTCACTGTCTACTGAGTCCTCTAGTGATTCCGTCATTCTTGCATCCCAAGCTCATGGGCACGACAGAGGAAATTAAAAGGGTTATCCACATCATAATCGTCCTAGGTGTGATTCCATAGGTGTTGGAAGTTGCATGATAGAACTTCTACCTTCGCAAATGTTGCTCACATTCCACCATTTCCAGTTGTGCTACCTCTGGCTGAATATGAGGCATATTACAAATTTAAGAGATCTACTCTTAGAGTCTTAGTTCATCAACATTGCTTCTACAACCTGTGTTTAACACAAGTAGCTCGTGGATCACTAACTCCGGTTCCTCCAGCCATATTTGTGGTAATCCCCATCTTTTAGCCCTTGTTACCAAGCACCACAACCTTCCTTTGATCACCCTAGCCAATGGCCTTCCTATTGGGCAAGTGCTCTCGCTTTCATCCTTATCGTTAGATTGAGTTCGATATGTTCTTCATATCCTTTATAACCTTGTCTCTGTTAGCAAAATTACACGTTCTCTTAATTATTCTATAGATTTTTATGCTGATTATTATGTGATTGTGTAAGACCGTCGTACAGAGAAGATGATTCACGCCCGGAATGAATCTCAAGGCGTGTATCACCTTCACACTCTTGATGTAGTTGTTTGTGTATCTAGTGAACGAACATACAATTTGTTTATATAACCGGTTGGATCATCGCAGTCTCTCCAAGTTTCGAAGTTTGGTCTCAGGTTTCTGTAGTCTTTCATCCTTACATTGTGAATTGTCATCTTAAGAAGCAACCTCATCAATATACTGCTTAATGGACTTAATTGAACAGGGTAGGAATAAATAGTCCCTTGGAAGCTAGGAAAGAGACTACTGCCAAGGAAAAAATCCATGCACTAGACACTATGAAAGAGGCTACTGCCCACATGGAGAAAAGAGTGGAATTAACTCATGAGAAGCCTGTGCAGGGGGCTCTACTCTAGGGATGTGAAGCAAAGTTGGAGACGGTTGCTCCGGAAGCCACGTCGTCACCGGAAACAATGGAGAAAAGTTGGAGCCTCTACTGCCCACATGGAGAAAAGAGTGGAATTAACTCATGAGAACCTGTGCAGGAGCCTCTACTCCAGGGATGAGAAAAGAGTGGAATTAACTCATGAGAAGCCTGTGCAGGAGCCTCTACTAGGATTGTGATGGATGTTAGTAATTGTGAAAGAATTAAATGCAAATTGAAATCAGTATCAATTTTATTTTGAAAAAATATTTTGAAAAATTCTTGCTATAAAAAACATCCGTGTTCATATTTTGAAATTCTTTTATTAGGCGAATGAAATTATATTTCAGAACAAGCAATGTAAACAGATAATATACATTCAACACTTGTTCTAGACAGAAGAGTTATTTGGTCATTTAACATAATTCAGACTTCTCATTCAGCACACATAGTAAACAGCTTGTTATCTCAGTGTCACTTAATCCAGACAGACGTCTTAATTCAAACAGACGTCTTAATCGACGTCTTAATCCATTCAGGACTTAATGAAAGAAAAAAAGTAAATAGCCCCTGAGTCTACTTAAAGATTTCTTGATTTTTTTAATATTTGTAGATTTATTTATGACTTCTCCCGTCACACATGGTTTTTTGTAAAGGAAGAGCTTTTCGAATTATTTCACATCTTTCAAAAAGATTGGGCCGATATTCACACAATATGGTCCTTCTATCAAAACTTTACAAAGTGACAATGCTAAAGAATTTTTTACGACACCCCTCAATCAATTTTTTCCATCATATGCAATGGAGACAAAGACTCACTATTTTTTGGCTTGATAATGTAATGGAATAAAGCAAAATGGCTGACTGAACTGTCTGCGCTTCTTTGTTATGAAGAAAAGTTAGTTCATGCAATTTTTGGACGCGATTTTCACTATGGGTCATCTGGAAACAGTCTCTCTGTGCTTTAGTACAGGGGTAACACTGCGCACAGCCGACTCCCCTTACTTTACCATGGGTGAGAGCCTTTGTGAACACCGCGTGATGATGATGCCCCTCAATCAATTCATGACATCAAAGGGTATATTTCGTGAGTCACATTGTGCTTAGACACCTCAGTAAAATGGGTTACCAAACATAAGAATTAACATTTAATCAAAATTGCTTGCACTATGTTATTACATTCTCATACACCACAACAATATTGGGCAGATGTCGTTTTCTCTACACATCATCACACCAATATAATGCCTTCTTCGAAACATAATAATGATATGGGAAAGTTCCTGAAATATGAGTAAACAAGTTTTGGGATTCAAAAATAAGATTGCTTTATTTTTTTTTCCCAAAATAGGAGTAACATGACAGTATTTATTGTCATCTTGTAGTCATAACTGCAAAAGAATTGCAATACTAGGCATTAAGCATGGCAGTAACAACTCCTATTTCGAGAAGAAAATCATAGCAGTCCCATTTTGGAATTCCAAAACTTGTTTACTCCTATTTAGGGCAATTTCTCTAATGATATTCCCCTTCTATCTTGTTCTCTGCACAATCATTCTTTCCATTACCACCTCATGTGTTTAGGTGTGTGTGTTTTGTCCATGATACCACACTGCATATATAAAATGGCTTCCAAGTCAATAAAATGTATTTTTCTTGGATATTCACAACTTTAAATGGGTTATCATTATTATTCCCTGGTACTTAAAAAACCATTGTGTGTCCACTAAACTCAACTTTATTGAGTCTTCCTTTATAACGAATACTCCATGTGTGGATTTTCTTCCATATCTCAAACTCATCTCAATCCATATGGACACTCCTAATGGACACATCAATCATCCTCCAATAGCCACATGTCCTTTACAAGTGCATTTTTTATGTCCACCCATTGACTCCACTGAGGTCATACACTCATACCCATTGATTCCCCTAGTATGAATCCACAACCAGCACAATCAGCTACACAAGTGTAAGAAATCACTACAGATGGTTTTCCTATTGCCCTCTAGAAGGTACATGCTCAACTTTGGATCCTCATCCCATACATAATCAGTTCTCACCGCCACTCCACCCCCGATTTTGCCTTCATTTTAAACATATCTGATGTTTGCATTCATAAAACCACACATGAGGTATTATTACATCAACAATGGAGGCCTTACATTCTAGTGGTACATGGGACTTAGTTCCTCGTCCAACTGGAAAATCAATTGTTGGATGCCGGTGGATATACGCCCAAATGGGAAAACTGACCGTCTTATCACTGCCTCACCACCCATGATGTTGCCTTCATTTCAAACCTATATGATGTTTGAATTTGTAAAACCACCAATGAGGCATTATGACACCCACAATGGAGGCCCTACATTCTAATGGGACATGTGACTTAGTTCCCATTCATACTGGGAAATCAGTTGTTAGAAGTCGGTGAATATGTGCAATTAAAGTTAGCCCAAATAGAAAAATTGACCATCTCTCCAGCACGTCTGGTTGCGAAGGGGTACAAATAGATCAACATATTGGACTACACTGACACCTTTTCTCTGTAGCAAAGATTGCATCAGTACATTTTGATCTTTGGCGGCAATGAGCCATTATATCAACTGGACATGAAAAGTACATTTATCCATGGTGTTTTACATGAGGGGGTCTAGAGCAAAATGCATAAATGACTCTTAAAATATCATCACCACATCGTTTGGGTCTCTAAACTAATAAATCTATCACTTTAGTACTTGTTCTATTTAATTCGTATCAATCCAGTCCTTCTGTCATTTTTAGCCATTAAACTGATAGAATAAAATTCAAGATATTGTCATCTAAAAGTCAGTTTAATGCTACGGTCTTTATATGGCTTGTGCAAATTACATCGGTCTTTTTTCATCGGTTTTTTTACCCAGTTTTATGGCTTCCAAGATTTTGTTACTCAGTGGGGCCTAGTTTAATGTGCAAATTACATCGGTCTTTATATGGCTTGAATCAATCTCCTCGTGCATGGTTTGAGAGATTCACTATTGCGGTTCGTGGATTTGTCATGATTCAGAGTGATGTTTTGCAGGCAATAAAGATATCTTTCTTGTTGTATATGTTGATGACATTGTCATTACGTGTAATGATGACCAAAGAATTGCCCAACTCAAGAAATAACTCTTTAGCAAATTTGAAACAAAAGACTTAGGCAAACCGAAATACTTTCTTGGTTTTAAGGGAAACGGAAATACTTTCTTGGTTCGTAGAGGACCTACAATGAAATATATTTGTAACAAACTTGGTGCATATAATTTAAAAAGTCCAACTTGTGTTGAAATCCTAGTTATATTGGGATTAACCCAAGTTTGTATAGAAACCCTAATCCCTCAATCATAACTATAAATAAAGCAACTTCCCTAAATATGAGTAATCATTGTATGTTTTGGCATTACCATGTTTTAACTTTTAAACAAGACAGTATTTTCCAATTTTCCAAGCTTGGGAGTAAGTACTCATATTTAGAGAATAAAAACATAATACTTCTATTCGGAATTCAAAAACGTTTTTGCTCCTATTTCAAGAATTTTCCCTTATAAATAAAGCTATTTGTATAGTGCTTGGATATCAAATTTCATATTAATAATATCAATTCATATTAGACACACAAGTTATACTAACTTTACCTTCTCATCAAGCTCAAGTTGAGCTTTCTTTTCCCCCAAGAGTTCCAATTCCTTTTGTACCCTCTCTACATTCTCCAAAGTAGTAGATGCCTTAAACTTCTTTTCCCTGATGTTGCTCAATCTTAATTGAGCACTTGTCCGATCATTTTCCAAGTTCAACTGCTCTTCCATTAGCTTTTGGAGCTGATTGTGCAAAGACTCCCTATGAAAATATAAAGTCCAAGTACTAATTAAAAAAAGTTGATTAGAATTATCCTATACCATCATTTCCACAAATGGCAGACCAAGAAATACATATTTCATATAATAGACAAGCAAATATACTTCTCGATCTCCAATACGTTTAGCTCTGATTGGACTTCCTCCATAGATTTGACACCCTCCCCCCCGAAATCAAGCTTGTATTCAAACTCAGCAACCTGTTTCTGCAAGGTTTGTATTTCTAGCAAAATCCTTTCAGCATTTTCCACAGGTGGAATTAGGGCATCCACTGTGTCCTTGTCTGTTTTAATCTGAGCCAAGACACCCAACACCTGTCAACAAGGGAGGTGCCTGAGTCAGTTTTAATGACAAAAACGTACAGTCAGGTTTTATCACTGACAGTATCAGGTACCCCAATTTCATCACTGCAAGCAATAAGGTTGACCCGGTTCTCTATTTTTCTTCACCAAGAGAAAACTCATATCAAAATATTGTACAGGATAATTTATCTAGGTGTTCCTATTCAAAATTTTGTCACAATAATTTCAGCTATTTAGAATTATAGGTTTTACTCTCTAAACGAAGATTATATTTTAGAGCATCATAGAAAGAGTACAGGTATGGTTTAGGAGTTTAGAGAAAATGAGAAGAATGATAGAAGTCTACTTAACATGTCCATACATAGTCATACTAAGCTAGTCCAAGTAAACTCAGAAGGTCGAATGATTCAAAGAAGGTATCCTCAATTCGAATCGGGTGGTTGGAGCCACCACCTAACTGCATTAAAGGCCTTGCAACTCATTCTACAATATCTTGTTGAATAGGCACCTAGGGTACAGTTGTATATTCTCAATCCTTAAGGTCTTAAATTGCATACAACTTTCTCCTATAACCCTATGACTTTCCATCTTATTTCATTTTCGATTTCTTGGTAGATATAAAAAGCCAATAGGGAAATTTATGTAATAAAAATACCAGTTCTGATATCATCACGTCCCATTCCTATTAGTGTTTAAATATTCTTAATGCCTGGCTTCCAGGTGGGTGATATGGATTCTAATGTATCTGAAAAAGTTTAAGGCGCCAGTTTGCTATATTCAAATTACCCAGATCACGAAAATACTCATATAATTGGCTACACAAAATGCAAATTGGGTTTGTTAATAAGAAGTCCAGAATTGGGTATTGTGCTAGCTTTGGTGTCAACTCACTCTTTTGGAAATGTGATGAACAGTGAGCTGTGCAATCAAGTGCAAAAGCTGAGATGAATAACACCTAAAATAAGTGAAGCTAATGAAGTAAAAGCAACCTTTTACCGCATTGAAGTTTGCAAGCTTAGGACTACGAAGCTAAGTTTACAAACCTTTTACCTTAGGACTACTAAGTTACATCCAACCCAATCTTTAGTGAGGGACCAAAAGCCATAAAATTTCACCACACATATGACTCATACAACATATATTGACTCATACAACAAATTCAAAGACATACTAATCAAATCTCTTAGTTGACACAAAACAGCATTTGCAAGTTTGGAGAATATGATTAAATAATAAAAAGACTCAAGAAAAGTGTTAACATTTACAAAAGGCATCATTTGTTCGTGTGCACACATACTAGGCTAGAGTTGGATTAGCCTATGACATTGATAGGAACCAGATTATAATACTAATAAGAATAATAGAATAGTACTATATCCGTCCCATTAACATTGGGATATGAGAAGGTGGCACAGTTATTAAAAAAAAGGTGGCACAGTTATTAAGAAAAGTGGGTTTACGTGGTTGATATTGAATTGATAGAGTAAGAATAAAGTAAAAATGATTTAGAACCACATAAATTTTACCGAATTTGGTATGAGACAATCTTAATGGAACACCGAAAAAGAAAAGATGGAACAATCTTAGCGGGCCGAAGGGAGTATTAAATATAATGATATTGTATAAATGAGGGTCTAGGCCATGTAAGTCAGGAATTATGAGCCTGCCCTTAAAAATAGAATTACTATCAGAGTAGGGAATGAGGGAAGAAGGGGGGAGGCTGTTACCAATGGACTGGGAGATGTGTACCTTATTAGCACCGGTCAAGTATGGGCTTGACTAGTGGCTTATAAGCAAGGTGTTTCCTCCTCCTAATCGACTGGTCTTTTAGGAGTGAGTTCTACACCTGAGCTTATGGCACTGGTATGGGCCTAGTATGGGCTAGGTCCGTAACACACAGTTCTTCGTCGCCAGCTGTTTCTCACCATGCGCAAATTGCATCCGCTTCCAGAACCCTGGACAACGTTGATTCCGAAATGGATTGCCGGGAATTCCACCGTGAACATTGACCGATGAGTTGAAGACAGATGCACTGTCAGTCCAGGAGCTGGATATGGAAGATGATATGATTCAACCTACAGGAAATCTACCTGATAATCAAGAGGATTCGAAACTGCAGGGGGTGGAAGACAAGGAAATTAGTCCAGGTAAAGTAGAAACAGACAATTGAGTCTCCCGTTTTGTCTACCCAGTCGAATGGATCAGCTAATAGCTCTGATTTTAAGTCTAATGATTCTTAAGATAGTATCGCACAATCCAATGAAGGATTAGTAGTCTCGCTTGGTGAAATTCTGGAGGCTTCTTTGTTTGACCAAGGATTTGGCAAACAGTTTTTCCAATTGACACCTAATAGACGTGCAGACGGTGAAAAGAAGGTGGTGATTGTTAATGAAGGTGTTGGGGATGCTGTAAGATTATTAGGTGCAATGCACCTTGTGGACTGCTTGTCTCAGGAACATGTGTTTGGAAGTCATCAGTTGCTAAGAATTATTGTGAATGCTGGCACAGGAACTACTGCCATCGGTTTAGGATTTGGAGTTGTTTTCCTAGGGATCCCGTGGGAAGTAACTGCAGTCATGCTGACTGACACTGTTGAGGGGTATAGAAAAAAGGAGGAAAGTCTATCTGAATTTTGTTTGACTTCTAATTTTTGTAATCTTAATCAATTCTTGAGGAAGGTCATGGTGGAATCGTTCACGGGGTAGAATGTCTCGCTCCAAGAAAAGTTGGCAATGTGTTGAGAGGTGAAGTGAAGAAATATCCAACAATTGCCCAAGAGACAGATATTCTGGTTGATCCTGTATACACTCTTGCTGCCTGAGAATCCGCTATGCAATATTGTCAGGATGAATATTCCAAGGCAGCCGTGATGCTTCACAGAAGGAACACTTGGTGATGATGATGCTGACTTTGTATTCTCAATTGAGATTTTGTAAGAGATCAGACATGGGGCACTGAAGGAGATAAATATCTTGGCAAAAAGGATCACTCTGTTGACAAAGAGATTAAGATGATGCCTAAAAGAAGAACACTATCCGAACTGAAATACTGGGAAGGGAGAAGCATAAGGAAGAAACTGATGATCAGGGTTGTTTCCTATCACCCACCTTGAGGACAAGGTGGTTGTCAAAGGGGGAGTGATGAAAGGAACCGGATAATAATACTAATAAGAATAATAGAATAGTACTACCTCCGTCCCACTAACATTGGGGCAAGAGGAGGTGACACGGTTATTGAGAAAAGTGGGTTTATGTGGTTGATATTGAATTGATAAAGTAAGAATGATTTATAACCACACAAATTTTACCAAATTTGCTATGGGACAATCTTATTGAGACGGACCCAAAAGGAAAGATGAGACAATCTCAGCGGGACGGAGGGAGATTAAATAGGGTGATGTTGTACACATGAGGTCTGGGCCATGTAAGTCAGGAATTATGGCCGGCCCTAAGAAATAGAATTACTATAAGAGTAGGGAATGAGGGAGGGAGGGGGGGGGGGGGGGGGGGGCTAAGGCAGATAGAAGCTGGAGAGCTAGCACTCTCAAACTTGCCAAGCTTGGAACATATGATGAGATACTACAACACTGTTGAGAAAATGTGAACAAATACAAAAAGGCAACTTAGTTCATTCAAGTGTATCCATTCTGACTTTCTCCACCAGTTCAAGTAGCCTATGAGTCATGATGATATGTACGTCATGTTTACGTTTGTTCGGGAAGAAAATACGAATATATTTTTGGCCGACATCTCTCGCTTCCTTTTCAACAAGGACAGTGCTACATCGTCATCACAGTGGTGCCAAGGTGAGGCAAGAACTAGTTCCTAAAGTCTACAGTGAAATTCATCAAAGGATGTGATGGAAGGAAAGACTACATCTCAAAAGAAAATTAAGAAATATCACCAAGGTAGATTACATCATCAAGAGCCTGATTTTTTTTCTCCAACTCTTCTTCAAGCTCTTTCAACTTTTTCTCTGCTAGAGGGATTGACTCCTTTCCAATTTTGATATACTCTTCATAAAACGTACGTAGCTTATCCAATTGCTGGAACTGAGATTCAGCATGTACAGATTCTACAGCCAATGCACTCAATTTATCGCCAGTGTATGATGACTTCCTCCGTTGCTGCCATGACATTAGAATTCATCATGTGTTAAATCAACATAGAGAAGCAGCACAAATATAACATTTTTCCCATGCAACATGCATCAGAAAATGAGACTTCATTTTCAAGAATGATAGAGCAACTTGCATAAAAAAACCTTTATAATAAATTCATCTTCCTCTTCAGAAGAGAAGGGGCGTTCACAGCACGGGCAAATATGATTATCACGAGCAAAGTTTTCAAACGGCACAATCAGTAATTGCATGCCATTAGCTTGGTTATATTCGCTGCATTCAGTAGTATACAAAAAAATATATGCTTTAGAAAATGACCACAAATGCTTGGCAGTGAAAAGAAATCCTTTGGATCATTAAAACCATGTAATGGCAAACCTTTTCATAGATTCACTTTTTTCTCTGGTCGAATCCAAAAGCTCAGGGTAAATGTCAATACTGGCAGGAACTTGGTCAACAAACTGGAGTTTGGATTCAACAAATCTTTTCTTTGCTGCAAATGAATCAAAGAATATTGTATGAGCATCTACACAAAAGAATTTAGCTTAAAACGGTAGGAAATTCATAATATGATCTTCATTTCATATATGTTTTGATCAATACTTCTGCATGACCTTACAGATTTCTAAAAATTATGGAAAGCAACTACAAATATTTCTCCCTCCATCCCAAAATACACTTCATACTTTCCTTCTTGGGTTGTCCCCAAATAAACTTTGAATTCCCTAAAAGGAAAGAAAGAACCGTGCATTGGGCGTTTATATTGGGACACAATGATTGGTACAGAAAATGCGTTAAAATCTATTTTATCAATTATACAAGCTTGTGTATGTATCAGTCCATCAGATCAAGCATGTTATGGGAAACGTGCTTACATTCCGCTTCCTTGTTAAGTTTGTATAAGTTATCATTGACTCCATCAATATTCGCTTGCACCATATTTAAGTTCTTCTCAGCTTCACGAGCTTTTACACTCAAGTCTTCAATTTCTTTGTGAAGAGTCCTGCAGTAAAATTTCCAAGGCAAAACAAAACCTGCATGAACGTCTCTCCATGGGCAATCAACAAGAAAAGAAAACTAAATACATAAGAAACATTGATGCACTAAACATTTTTAAGCAATGAAACATTGACATGGAATAAGGGACCCATTGCATCTGGTGGGCCCATGTGCGAGTTTAAGAGACATGGAAAATATCACTAATGCAACTATCGGGTGGTACTAGCAATTCATAAGCTGACTCTTTAATCCAAGATTGCACCTGGAACAAACCAAAAACTTCGGTAATAATTTATGAATACCATAAAGCAAAATAACTGACGCTAAGGATGGACGTGAAGCCAGAACCAAGCACTCTGTTAGAAAATCGTCATTGTGGTTTTTGTAGTAATAGTGATTCATAAGTTGTTGGGGTTGTATTATGCGCTTTCGCGCATTGGTTAAAAGTTGGTCCGGGTCAAGAAGCTCCTGTTTGACGACCTCGACTTAGTTATACCGAACATATATGAGATGAGTTTGGACAGATCACGCCAGCAAACAAGATGGAAGGAAATGTCCATCGAGGCAGTGTGCTACCATGAGTTGTAGCAGTACTCAACCCACGGAAGCCAATGAATCCTGCGGATAGCAGCTTGAAAAAACAAATCATAAACAACCCCAAAGTCTAATAGCCTGACTCCATTTTACTATCGTTAGCAGATGGTAAGCGGACGGTAAACACACATATTCTGTACCGACCAGCAGAAAAGGTCGTACCATAATGCACTCATAAAACCTTATCCCTATCCAAAACTAAGGACTCCAAGAGGCCGTACAATGTTCTTGCGGGAGGGTGAGTAATCCTTGTCTAGCAAGTGCTTCAAACTGCAATGGTCAATCCGTATCACAAACTCCTGGCTTTATTCATACGGCCATCAATGTGTGAACGCTTTCGGTCAACTCAATTAACTCAGGTTCACATGTTATAAGCTTGACATGGATCATATATTTTCTGGCTAAAACAGGAAATAGGTTGACCTTGTTGCATCCTCATGTTCAACTCAATTACAGAGGCATCACACTCCGGAATCCGGAGACATCCTTTTTTAAAATTTTGTAATTAAAGTACTGTTGCTGAGGACAAATAAGTCTTCAGCAGTTCAGTGGTTCAAGGTTGTGATTTCCCTCGTCTATCGGAATGAACTCTGTCTTTAATAATTGTGTCAGGGATCCTGTAATCTTGTTGGATCGCTGGATAAACTAATGGTAATAAACCAAGAGACCCAATAAATCACGCAAGGCTATCATCGTCTCAGGGAATGGCCAGATCATGACCGCCCGGAGTCTTGACAAGCACGCCTTTTGAGTTCCAGTAAAAGCACCGATGGAGGTCCAATACGCATTGCGCAGGTTTTTTAGCTGTGTGTTGTCAATCAAGTGGAAGATTTTTAACCCTATTCATGCCTGATTTGGGGTACAACTTAAGGTATAAAAAAAATCATTTGCACCGCTTGGTCTGTGTCGCAAGATCGCTCATGCTATCGTATTGGGGAAACTCTCTTTTTCAGAATCAGGGTATCAATCATATCATCTGTAACGATTTTATTGATATGTGCTCTGTTATCAGAACCCAATTGAATACATGTGTGATCAGACAGCAGCTGCAAAGCAAAGCTTGTTATGGTTGTCACTAATCTATATATCTCTCCAAAAGTTGGCTGAACTGACATCAGAAACCGACTGTTATTTCATGTCGTTCAACCTTACTTAATGTGTCTTGCATGAAGTTCTTAATGTGTCTGAGCTGATACAGAGTTGTTAAGAGAATGCATGAGGGATCTTGACCATGGTCTTGTACAATATAACAAAAAGGGGGTGTGTGGTTTGAGCGCCAAAAGGATCAATGCTTGATATCAAATTAATCAGTGCCCGACCGCCAAGACAATCAAGAATTAATTTTTCAAAAGGTAATTTACTGATCCAGCTGAGGACCTTTATATATAGTCCTAAATGAGTTCCCTTTAAGAGCGTCGAATAAGTTACTCAACGAGTCTCATTAACAAACTAAATGAAATGTGTGAATGGTCAAGAAAATGAATTCCATTTAAGAAACATAAATGATGCATTAGACTGTTTATATTAAATATTGAGAGAATGTGTGAAATTCAAGCAGTTGACTGACCTCTGGACTTGTCTAACTTCTTTCTTCAAATCCTTGTCTGGAGGAAGCCTTCCTTTCATCAATTCTTTAATTCTATCCTTGTATTCATCAACTCTAAAGTGTAAAAAGAAGAGAGATATCAGTGGTGATAAAGACTAATGAACTGTTGGGGAGTGTTGGAAAGTAATAATAAAAAACTGGAAAAATAGATTGGAAATATGTATGTAATATTGCCACTTGCATCTTCTTGTGTATCTTTTTCTTGGTTTCCAGTTCTGCCTTCTTAAGGGAGAGTATAGCTCTGTCATCTGAATCAGAAACCATGCGGTCTCTTTCACGCTTAAGCTCTTCGATTTTTTGATCTAACTTAAATTTATCACTCTTCTTAAGCTGAATACTACTTGGAAACTTTCGTTCTTCAATTTGACGATTCTTCCTCTCCAATTCAGCTTGCTGCATAGCCATGGAGAACAATATGAGGTCTGTACCTTTACTATTGGGTTTAGAGTTGAGCAGCAAAATCAAACCATTTTATGTTCCTTCTCATCCATGTGAGCAAAATTAATATTAGACATTTCAAGTTCAAGTCCATCAAGCTCAAGCTTCTTCTCTTCAATCTGCTTTAAAAGGCCGCTCTGCATTTGGCGATTGGCATCACTATCATAATCTGAAGCTCAAGAAGTAGCAACAAAGGCACAAGCATCACAAGTTAGGGGCAAACCTTCATCTCTGATTTAGCATGTAGGCTGGCCTCCATCTCTTTCCAACGGTTATTCGCATTCTCAAAATGACTCCATGCTGTTGTAGTGATCGCCAAGTTTGATTTCTGAATGACATCCATGCAAGCTAATCCAAATTACATCATTTTGCATTTATCACAGAGCATAAAGAAATCGGCCTTTAGCAAATAGGAGAGGCATTGATTAGATGATACAAACTGATTACTTGACATATATGAGCACATAAGTAAAGAAGTGTAGAGTCAAAAACACCTAGGACAGCCGCTATCTTTCAAACTCAGCCCTTACACTTTCCACTTATTGCAATTTTCTCCCTTGAATATAGGCATCAGTCATTCAAAGATGGCAATGGGGCAGGTTACGTTCAGGGTACCCTAGATCCATTATGTGCTCCACACTACCACCACAGAATGGCTTGACAGGCCCCTTCTAATACAACCCATAACCAATCACGATTGCAGAAATTTGAGGGTGGGGGTGAAATATTGTAGTGACATTGAACCATTAACACAACACAAATATTAATTTTTTTGATATTAAACAAGTAAACAAAATTACAGAAACTGTAATACATATCAAACTTTGGAGGTCATTATAATTCCAAATTGGGTATTCGAAGATTGAGGCACATGAGTCATCATGTTACCAAACTCTACTACATAACCTATTTAAAAATAATAAATCACTACATTTTTACACACCATCTTAATTAGGATGTTTTCACATGGGCTAGTTTGACGTGACAAGTCCAGAGTCACCAAATCGGACTTGGACTGGACCAGTCACCAGATCAAACTTGCTAGACTTGGACAACACTACAATAGTAAGATACACATAACACTAGACCTCAATGGACCAAACGAAAACAAATTAGACTTAAACGGACCATATCAAGTGAAAACATCCTTAAAACTCCATTTGGTGTGAATTGTGCATTGATTTTTAAAAAATAGTATTACACCAGAATACCATATTAAATTGGAGAAAATGGTCAAAATGGTACTTGAACTTGTTTCAAGTGGAGTAAGTAGTACTCCATCTTACACTTGAAATTACGAAGTACATGAACTTGCACTTTTAAAGTCGATTAAGTACATTTTCTTTGTTGAAACGTTAAAATAGCAGACCTGACCAAACTATCAGTTTGTAATATACCAAGTCATCAAATAATTAATCTTTAAACTCTATTTTCCTCCAGTCCACTCGTTTCCACCCTCGCTCTTCATCTTATATTTTCATGTTTGTTCTCCATTCTCTCTGCTCTTCATCTTATATTTCTCTCGTCTGCTCACCAAGGGTGGAGCCAGGGCACTGGGCCGGACTGGAACAGTACAAAGAATATTTTTGAAAAAAAATACACAGAATTTTTACTTTAAAATTAAAGCTTTTTTTAAATTTGGGGTGGACCAGGACCTGGGTTGACCCCCTCTAGCTCCCCCTACTGCTCTCATTCTCTCTCATCTGCTGTCCCAGTTATCATGCTGGCTTCTTCTTTTATTTGCTATCGGTCCATGAGTCCATCTTTATTATAGCAAGAGAAGAAGAAAATAAAATAGAGCAAAAAGAAGCCGGAGGGATAGCAGGAAGAGCAGACGGGAAAAATATAAGATGTAGAGCGGAGAGAAGGGATAGCAGACGAGAATAATATAAGATGAGCAAAGGTGAAAATGAGTGGACGGGAGAAAAAAAGAGTTTATAGATTAATTATTTGATGACTTGGACTGTAACTGTATTATACAAACGGATAGTTTAGCCAGGTCAGCTATTTTAACATTCTGACAGAGCAGATGTACTTGATCGAGTATAAATATACAAGTTCATGTACTTTAAAATTTCAAATGCAAGATGAAGTACTACTTACTCCCGTCGAATCAACTTCATGTACCATTTTGACCATTTTCTCGATTAAACTGGTATAAAAAAAGAACTTAGAGTGATAATATAAAGGTATGATATATTGTTTCACAGTGTATATATTCTTTTAAAGTGCATAAAAAATTAACTAAAAGTAGACATAAATATAAAATATATTTTACTATATATTACATTAAAGTTGTATTATAAAAGGGGTAAAAAGGACACACTCTCTGGCCATTATGAGTTTACGCATAAACTATGGAACATGCGCATAACACATATAGTATGTAGACATATACATATTAGGTCTGAACTGTTCCACCAAGTATTAGCTTATATAGCATCATAAGAAACAATACCACTATAGTGTAGCACACTTACCCTACTTGGACAAATAATGGTTTTCACTTCTCACTGCCCTTTGTGAGTTTATGGATAAACCCTTTTATATAAACTTGTTTGAAACAAAGAATACAGAGACAACCTTTTTATGCTCCGAGTCCTTCACATAGTCTGCATGTCTCAATTTTATTCGATTCATGAGGTTCAGAGCAACTTCTTCACTGAGTTCACCGTCTGAAACAGCACCTAAATTATAACTTTCAGATAGTCCCTTGATAATTGTGTCCCTCTCATTCTTGTGTTTCATGTGAGTCTAAGCATAAAAATAACAAATGAAATAGCAAATTACTTTAAATAAACAAAATTTTCAGTGATATAAACTTGTGCACGGGTCAAAGAAACTACGTTAGCTTCACTTTCAAGCTTGCTAATCTCCCAGATATAGCCTTTGATATCACTTTGGAGGACAGAACTCTTTGACACCATGTCTTTCTTTTCTCTTTCCAATTGTCTAATTTTTGATTCCAGAAGAGCTATCCGCTCCTCAAACTTGGTTTTCCATTCTTGAAGTTCTTCATCAGTGTCTGGAAGCAGCACAAAGCACCACAAAAAATGCTCTTTTCAGAACAAAAGAAATACTAAAAAGAGTGAGTTAAAAACCACATTACTACAAGGTTTAAGGTTGCATACATTCAAGTGAGCACTGTTATTCACCTTTTATTTAGGGGAAGAGTGACTTAGAAAGCACAATCTAGAATACAACTACATCCAAACTTTTAACATGAAACAACACATGAAATTGGAGCTAAAAAGATAAGAAAGATGAGAGAGATAAAAAGATAAGAAAGATAACAACATAAGGTAAGATAAAAAAGATACAATAAAGATAAATATATGATAAAGATAAAAATGATAAGATAAAAAGGATTAAAAAAATATAAGATAAAAAGGATAAAGGGATAAAGAACATAAAAAAGATAAAGAGAATAAAAAAGATGAAAAGAGATCAATCCTCTACATGTATACACTCCCTCCATATTACTTTCTCCAAATTCATACTCTCATCCAACTCAAAAGGAAACATATAAATCTTGACTCCTCTAATTCACGCATGTTTGGGTCTTCCTCTCCCTGTCCTCCTTGCATCTTCTCCCCACCTCTCAACTCGTTTAACAAATGCATCACTTAGTCTTCTACGCACATGATCAAACCATCACAATCGAGACTCTCACATCTTATCTTCAATAGGTGTTACTCTCACCTTTTTCTAGTTGTCTCATTCCTCAAACGGTATTTTCTAGTATGTCCATACATCCAACGCAACATTCACATCTCATCCACAATCATCTTTTGAATTTCACATTATTTCACCGCCCAACACTTTACGCCATATAGTAAAGCAGGCTTAGTTGTTGTCCAATAAAGCACAAGCTAGAAACACTCCATCCCAAAAAAACATGTTCCTAGCCACTTCTTTTTTATCCCCTAAAAAAGAGTCATGTTTGATCAAACAAGACTAACTTTCATGTTTTTAAAATGACAAATTGCACTCATGGACAACCTACATATGCTTACTTTAATCAAACCAACAATAAATTATAAAAAAAAAGTATGCTTCATGATTTTTGTCATTGTCAAAATTAAAAAGTTGTGCATAAGTCATATACGACTCTTTTTGGTACTCCCAACACCCCATACCAACTCTTAAAGTTTTTGTACACGAAGATTAAGAGTGGGTACTAAATTTGTACTCTTACTCTTCATTTATTTATAGGGCTAATAGAGTAATAGGCTAGTTAGTTATATGGACCATTATTTTAGTCATCCTGTGGTTCACGTAGGAATAGTGGGTACATGAAAGAAAACTTTTCACTTCATCTTTGTAGCCATCTTCACCCCCACCCACCACATTCCTTCATTTTTCTTTACAATTTGTTTGACAGTGTCCCTAGGGATTAATTGCTAGTTTGACATTGTCTTATTTTTTCCATCAAGAACCAACCGAAGCTCACAATCAACTCATTTTGTCACTCCATTTTCCTCCTCTATATTGTGTACAAGTTGGAAGTTGTGAAGCAAAGTGTCAAGCCTCTTGAAAAACAAATCGGACTAGTCAAGGGAATCATCTAAAGTATACATTGCCTTTTCCAACATCTCTGAAAATGTCCCCACAAATCTTGTCAAGGATCTCTTTTGATTTCTTGTTGATTTTTTTACAAAGGATTTCAAAGCGGAAAAAATAATGTAGAAATGAAAGTTCTATTTCACACGAGGTGTCTTGTAGAACTTAAGCACTTCAAAGTTAAAGATGATTGTGAGACATAAGACTTTCAATGTAATAGTGTGTAATTCAAAGGGTTGTACAATGGTGTATAGGGAATCATCAAAAGTGTCAAGCCTCTTGAAAACCCAACCACATGCATTGCTTTCCCCCACAGCTTTAAAAATGACCCCACAAATCTTCTCAAGAATCTCTTTTGACTTCTTGTCGATTTTCAGGCATAGGATTTGAAGGTGAAGATAATGTAGTAAAAAAGGAAGTTATTAATAACATTCAAGAAGTTAGGTGTCTTTAGAGTTAAGAGCTTCATAGTTAAAGATTTTCAATATTATTGTGTGTGGTTCAAGGGTCATACAACTATACAAGGAACAATGTGTGTGGGGCTAAGCCTAGTTCATCTACCGTCAGGGTTTAAACACTACCCCCAAATTGGAGCATATAAGTCATATGCATCAAACTTGTTACGAATATGTTCTATAATGAGACTTCATAGAGACTTTGTTAAGGCATATGAAAGTAGATTTGTCATGCTAACACTATTTGTGACAATCTGCCCATTTATATATTTTGAAAAATGGGGCATATAAGCTCTAAGACTATAAGTAACTCTTCAACCAGACCCTTGAACCAAAATATCTTACAAATACACAAGTCAACCCATTGAAATAAAGCGATCAGACCCTTTTTACCTTTTATTTCAATAGGTCGAGGGGTGTATTTGTATGGTATCTCGATTCAGAGGTCTCATTGCACAATGGCTCGTAGTTTAAGAGCTTATTTGCCCCTTTACTCATTTGTTTTTTCAAACGAAGTGGCAATTAACCTCCAAGGTGGTCAAAAGCGCTCGCCTTGTCGCTTAAGCGCACTAGGCGCAGCAAGCAAAGCATCCAGTGCTTGGGAGTAGAGGAGGCGCACGTATACAGGTAAGGCGCACTTAAACGCAGAAGCGCTGAGAGTTGCCCATCCGGGTTGCCTTATGCGAATAAGGCCGGGAGCCTTTTTGGTTTAAAACTTTTCAAAAATAATTAGCCCATATTTGTAATAACACTCAGCTCATCTAAATAATAGGGTAAAACAAGTAAAACCTACGTAAAACTTAAGTCATGTGCGTAAAAATGTAAAACCCATCTTAAAACAACTACACCAAGCATCGCTCTTCAGTCTACTCACTCTCCTCACTCCAGCTGCTCCAAATTGACCAAGTTTTCTTCTCTTTTAGTGATGAAAACTCCTTCACAAGTTTAACAAGGGGAAATAGGCTCCGATGGGATTGTATTTTATATTTAGTTATATCATTAAAGCCATGAATTCTGAATTTGGTGTTTTGTTTTTGTGAAACATGACTTTATTTTGGTGAATCCTGGCTTTTTTATGCATTTGGTGAAATATGATGTCGCATACATCATATTTGGTAAATATACAATAGTATATGTGATATTATCTAAGTAATGTGTTTCACCTGAGTCGGGTGAGCACTTTAATTGCGCCTCGCGTCTCAGAAGGCCCCTAGCGCTTGAAGTGCGCCTTTCGACTTTGACAAAATATTTTACCCTTAGAATGTGATGTGATGTGTTGTGCATTGAGGTTGAATGGGAGGTGCATTGAGGCTTTGTTATCACATATCAATTGAAGAGGTTTTATGTTTCTATATTTCAATTCTTGTAGGAGGTGCATGAACCATATAATCTCACTTGCACAAAGCCCATTGCATGATTCTTTGCTACAACACTTGATCTTGGAACAACATATTGCTACTTTTCCATGAAATTAAGTTTCCAATGGGGGTGTGACACCACAAGGGATGTGACTCTATTATTGACTCTTCATTAGTATGGCAAGGTTGTTTTAAAAGATGTTAGACTAACAATCTAAGGAGGGAAGATGAGATAAACCTACAACCATTTCTATAAGTTTTGAGAGGCTCAGATAACCTCAAATGTTACATAAGAAAATTGTAAATTCAGCTTTTGCACGAGCAATAGAACCGAGAAGATGTCTTGATGACGCCAATTGCTCTCCTCATATAACGATCACCCACAACCGCAAAATCAAATAAAAAGGTTACATGACAATTGTGAGAACCAGTAAGCTAGATTATAGTAAGCTAGCTAATAATCGCTCTATTATTGGGGATTGATGTCCATTAATGAGGGTGATATAAGATAATGTGATGGTTTAGATATACCAGACAAAAGATGGGAATTGTTAAAGATATTATCGAAAGAACCTAAATCGAGGATCCACACACGTGTAGTGATTGAAACAGACATTAGGGTGGGGTCGAGATGTTCTTTTCCCGATCTTGATTCAAAACTAAAAATGATCCCAAATCAAGTCAAGTCCCGACATTAAAATCAGAACTAAGTCGAGATCTTGATCAGTATTCCTAATTAATCCCAATGAATCTTGAAAATGAAGTCTAGAACATAATATTATATTTTTTATTGACGTACTACTTTAAAAGAGAAGTCAAAAGAGTCATGTGGAAAGCAAGAGGGAAAGTGAACAAAAAGTTATAAGGAAAATTAGAGTACAAAGAAAGAGAAAAGGATATGTATAAACTTGTTCCACTTCGAGATCGTAAGGCTCAAGATATCAAGAAAGTAAGATATCAAGAAAGTTAAGTGTGAAAGATGTCAATTAAAGGGAAATAATCAAGGATGAGTAAACAAAAAAGGGGTAGAGGTCTGATTTTATAAATTATTCGATTGGAATTAAGCGCAAGATATTGGTGATCTTATTATACCATATTGTATGGTAAATCGGGGTTTCGTGAGTAGGATCCAAAAGAGTGAAGTTAAAGAGGCTTTGAGGAAGACGAGACGATCAAGTTTAAGAAAAGTTTAGGAGAGAGAAAAACTAAGCGATTAACAACTTTCTTGAACCAGATTTGGAGAAAATATAAAATGTGAGTGAGTTGGCAGAAGAACATTCTTATACCCTCATTTAAGAATAAGGATAATGTACATTAATGTGCCAACTATCAAGGATTAAGCTAATGAGTCCTACCATAGAACTTTAGAAGCGAGTGATTGAATAAAGACGATGAAGAAATGTGAAGATTTCAAAGAATCAATTCAGTTTTATGTCGGGTCACTCAACAGCCGAGGCAATCCACCTTGTGAGACAACTTATAAGAAGTATAGACATAAGAATAAGGGCATGCATATGGTGTTCATTAACCAGGAAAAGGCTTATAATAGAATGCTCCTACAATTTCTCTCATGGGCATTATTGCATTAGGTAGAAAAGTCATATCACATAAGTATATCAACATCATTATACATATATGTGAGGAATGTACTATGACTATTCGTGCTAATGTAAGCAGGACTTGTAAGTTCCTTGTTATCATCGGAGCGAGGCTCGTGGTTCCTCTTGTTTGCCGTAGTCATGGATGATAATACCATGGTGAACAATGTATGCAGACGATATTTCTATGTGATTGGGTATGGCAACTAAATCGAAGTGTAAGTTTTATCGAAGAAGAATTAGGTTTGCACTTTGCATTGGTGTATGGCATGGAGTGTTGGATGGTGAAACAATGTCAAGTTAAAACATCGTTATGGCTAAGATAGTTGTGTTGTGTAAAATGTGTGGCGTACTACAAAATACCGCATCAGAAATGAGATTATCATGCAAAAAGTAAGCGAAAAGCAGGAGTAACGCCTATCGAAAATAAGACCTAAGAATCTAAGAGCCCGTTTGGTAATACATTGACTGTATTAGCTGATTCTGCTGAAATATATGAAAATCTGGCTAAAGTTGCTGGATTGGTTGATTCTGCTGATTTATGAAAAAATTATATTTAAAACTTGTGTAATTGATTCTCCTTCCATCCCTTAAAACTTTACCAAGTTTGACAAGCACCGATAATGATAAAGTAGAAGTTGTGTAGTTGAGATTTTTGTAGAGGTGAGAGAAATAATAAGAACCACAAATTTATTGATTAAAAAGGAAAGTGACAAAGTTTTTTGGGCAACCAATAAAAGGAAAGATATCAAAGTTATAAGGGATGGAGGGAGTAACTTTTTTAGATTAAAGTAATTTTAGAATAATTAAAGGTAACTCTGCCATGAGATAATTTTTGGTATCATGTTTGTCTCAAGCCAAGATAACGGAGGAGGGAGTTGTGGTAGGCGTGTGACGGCAAACTATAGGAGAAAATGATATTTATAGACTTGCTCGTCTTCGTGATTGTAGGATCCAAGATATCAGAAAAGTTAAGTGTGAAGGATGTCGATCAAAGGATACTAATGGAGAACGAAGAAATAAAAGAGAGGTGGAGGTCATACTTTGATACATTATTCAATGGGAATAAAGCACAAGATATTTGTGATCTGACAATACCAAATTGTATGGTAAATCGGGATTTTGTGAGAAGGATTCAAACGAAATTGAGGCATACCAATTGAGGCTTGGAGGAGTTTGGGAGAGAGACACGTCGAGTGGTTAACAGATTTCTTCGACAAGATTTGGAGAAACAACAAAATGTCAGCGAGTTGGCGAAAGAGTACTCTTATTTCTTATTTAAGAATAAGGGTGACGTACAAGAATGTGTCAACTGTCGAGGGATTAAGCTCATGAGTCACACAAAGAAACTTTGGGGTGAGTGATTTAACAAAGACTCCGAAGAAATGTGAAGATTTCAGAGACTCGGTTCGCTTTTATGTCTGGTCGCACAACAACTGAGGTCATTCACCTTCTTCGGCAACTTGTGGAGAATTATAGAGACATTGACAAGGATGATGGTATTGTGTTTTTGTTGTTATCCTTTTATCTTTATATATATACATTCTTTTATCCATTTTCATTCTATATTTTTATCCATTTTCATTTTATCTTTTTATTCATTTTCATTCTTATCCTTTTACATTGCAGGTGAAAGTTTAATGAACTTCGTTCCAAAGATCAAATAAACTCACTAGGGGTGGATGTGTAATTGTGCATCATATATTATTCGAAATCTAAAAGTCATGCACAATTATTGAAATGACACCAATTTTTTGGGGAGAATCACCGGAAAATGGATTTTTTGCAGTGTAAGCAATGACAAAAGTAGAACAGCAGAGAGCAGTAGATCAAGCAAATAACAATCCTGATTTTTGAAGTCTTAAGCGTGTGTGTAAGTTTTCAACAGCATGATTCCTGATGGGTGGTCACTGTGACATTCCGATGTGGTGGTAAGCTTAGTTTTTTAAAAGCACTTCCATAAAGGACCTGGGAAGATAAATGTCACAAAAATGAAAACGCTCTGATACTGGGTTATGTGTGTATTTCAAAGGATTGTAAAAAGGTGTATATGTATCTAAAAGTAACTACACTCAAGCGGGCTAAGCCCAATATAGATCTGGGGTTGGGGTTTCAAAAACAATAAAGGACCACAGTTGGAGAAATTTGATGCAACATTTCTGGTCTATTAAGGCATCTTTAGACTAAGAAGAGATAGGTCAATGGAGATACAAACAATTGAGAAGTAGTTTAGTGTTCACTACCTAGTCTTGTCGTAGAGAGGGAGGGTATTGGGAATCAATAATGAGTACTCTGTACAAGGACACAATGGTCATATTGACAAAAGAGTTACCTAAATTGGAAGTGGACACCCCGAAGTGGTAAAAAGCAACACTTAATTTGGGGCGGAGGGAGTTGCATTTTGGAATATAACGCCACTACACCACAAACCTTCGATTTTTTCCTGTAAAGCGGCTTTTTGTCTCTGCTTCTCTTTGTACAAAGTGCTTCTTTCAGCAGTCTTGGTGGCTATATGTTCCTGTAATTTCCTTAGGTCCTTCAAAGCTCCTTCAACATAGTGAATCTTTTTATCCAGGTTTTGGACCCCTCCTTCAAGCTCCTGAATTTGAGTTTTCACATTGTTTGTTTTCTCCAGATCTTGAGCAATACTTTCTCTTAACTGCACCAAACACAAACCAAATTTGACCAACTTCCATAAGTATTTTCAACTAATTTGGACTTTGAATTAAAGTTTTTAATACAAAACTCAAATTCTAGGATTAACATGTTTGAAGTATGTCCTGACTAAACTACATCAGATCAGAGAAGATCATAAAATGTCGAGTTGCATCTTGGCAGATTCAAGGCCAAAAAGCATAAGAAACCTTGTAAGCAGCGTCTTTCAGTGTCTGAAGATTCTCCAATTTCAGTTTAAATGACTTTATCTCTTGAGCTTGATCCTTGTGAAGTTTTTTAATAACCTCTAGAGCCTTTGTATATCTGAAAAGTAACCACAAAGAACCAATAACACACTCATAACAAAAGCTAAGCATCCTAACTCTTAAGCACTACATGACGGAAAACTAAATAGTAAGCATGATAAGTTTACTGAATGGAAAACAGTGACAACCCTTAAGCTTATACTCCCTCCGTATTGTAAGATTTGCTACAATAGGGTTTGGCACAATGTTGGACGGAAAAATAGTAGGGGTAATGAATATTTTAGAAAAAGTATGAGAGAGGGTGGAAAAGTATGAAAGAGGAGATAAAAGTAGAAAAAGTAAGGGTAGCTCAGTATTTTTAAGAGGAAAATGTTCCAAAAAGGGAAAGTAGCAAAAATTAAAATACATCGCAAAAAGGAAAATATAGCAAATAAAAGACTCTGGGGCAGTATGAAATTAGCTGCATCAGCAGATCTGAAGAACCATTTCGATTGTCTTGACCTATTATTATCTCATTTACATGTATCCTTAAGACACTACAAAGCTCAATGTTCATCATACTTTTCTTTAGCAACTTGAAAATTGCCCAAAATTTTTTTAAATGAAAATCTACTTGTTCGCAACAAAACATAATTCCCGATATAAACAAGAATTAAATACACTAACTAATCTCATTTGTTTTCTAATACATGAAACAGTATTCCTGCCAGGTAAAGGTAAGAAGAATATAGATTCTATTAAGAAAATGTTTAATTAATTAGATACTCTGGAGTATAAAGTTACATACAGCGGGAAGAGACCCTTGGAATATAAAAAATAGAGCTTATTGAGGACAAGTAACTAGGAAGGTTAGCTCAGTAATGCAATGCTTCCATGTGTTAGAAGATCATAAGATAGGCTAAATCTGAATGACAAATCTACTGGACAGGGAGGTCTTAGAAAGCTAGCGAGGAAGACTATATAAAAGGTATTCAAAATCCCAATTAAGGAGCATGGTTATCCAAAACACAGTAAAACAAAAAGAATATTCCAAAAATCACACACCAGAAGATTCAAGAAAAACACTAATAGATGAAGAATAATATGGAGTATGCAAAAAATTATTGTTTAATACAAAAAAAAATATGTGTCAAGGCTAGAAGTGGGAATCTTACTTTTTTAAAATTGCTTAATATACAGCCATAAGATTTCCTAATCATTTTCGGTGGTTAAAAACAGAAGTCAGCACGTACAAAGCATTACTGCATTAGTTCAATTGCTTAATATACAGCCATAAGTGTTTTTCTTGAATCTTCTGGTGTGTGATTTTTGTAATATTCTTTTTGTCTTACTGTGTTTTGGATAACCATGCTCCTTAATTGGGATTTTGAATACCTTTTATATAGTCTTCCTCGCTAGCTTTCTAAGACCTCCCTGTCCAGTAGATTTGTCATTCAGATTTAGCCTATCTTATGATCTTCTAACACATGGAAGCATTGCATTACTGAGCTAACCTTCCTAGTTACTTGTCCTCAATAAGCTCTATTTTTTATATTCCAAGGGTCTCTTCCCCCTGTATGTAACTTTATACTCCAGAGTATCTAATTAATTAACAACAACAATTTATTGTTGTTCAATGGATATTATTAGTTCAATTGTTGTTGATAATATCAACAACAATTTCAATGGATATCAATTCAAGAAAAATAGAGTACTTTGAAATTGTTGTTGATATTATTAGTAATTATTAAGCACTTTATCTTGTCAAAGTACATACTTGACTCTAACCAAAAGGGTGAGGATACATATATACACACAAATAAATATAAATACAAACATGTGTGTGTACGTATGTATGTCATAGGAGTGGTTTCAATATGTATAGCAAAGCTGCTTATCTGAACAGGTAGATTTAGGATCAAATAGTTGTTATCATTCTAGGGTTCATTACTGTCTGCACTGGAATATGTATGTATTAAATATTTAAATGTATAGATATAGACACACATATATAATGACATAATGTATGCATGTATGTATATAAGTGGGTGTGTAGTACATCTGCATACACATTATATGCATAATACATGCACACATATATCATAGGTGTATGGGTGTGTGTGTGTGTGTGTGTGTGTGTGTGTGTTTATGTATATGTATGTGTGTCTATAATACTACGTATATAACTATATGATATAGCTAATATAATATAAATGCATAAAGTCACACATAGAGAAGAATGTCAGACCAGCCTAACAGGAACCCCTAGTGGCTGACTTCATTTAGGCCAAAAATGAATTCAATGGTCCAATTTTTTGCTCATACACACATACATGGGTACAAATCATGGACTCCTATTTTCCATGTTAACTTTAAATATGTTATCACTTCTACTTTTGAAATACAATAGTTATACTATTTGTGCATTACACTTCGAAAGTTCGGATTAAAGTGTGATAATATATTTATTACTTTTTTAATCAAATTGTTTAAAGTCTAAGGGTATGTTCGCAAACAATTAAAAAAGTGGTTTTCAGCTTTTGGCTTAAAAAGCTGAAATGAGTGTTTTCAAGTGACAACTTCTACTTAAATTAAACACTTAAAATATCTATACATTTAAATATTTAATACATACATATTCCAGTGCAGGCAGTGATGAACCCTAGAATGATAACAACTATTTGATCTGTAGATTATTACAGATGGTTCTAATCACTCACCCGATTGTGCATTTATGAGAAGATATCTTAGAGATCTAAGAATCTCTAAATATCCCCAAGTATCTTTTTTTTATTAGGGAACCTTAATTAGGAGGATTCCTTCCTTCTTTCATTTTTTCTCTAGCTATATATATATATATATCATGTATTCTTCTCCTTGTAACATACAGAACATAATAAACAGAATACAGTTTACTTTCTCTAGTTATTTCTACAAAATTAAACACTTGAAAGCTAAAATCTATAAACTTCTTTTTATTTTTTCTATGACACAAAAAGCACATATTTTGCCAAACACTACCAACTTTTACTTTTTAAAATCATTTTTTTCTCAAACACTATCAACTTTTACTATTAAGCATTTTCTCCAAAATCACTTAAAAAAGTTACTTTTTTTAAAGCAGGAGCAATCGCAAACACTCCCTAAAGCTATTACTTATATTTGTAATATTATGAAGACCAAATTCAAATTTTGATGTACCCCCATAAATTCATAAACCCAAGTGGAATATTAAGGGATCGTTTGGTAACATTTCCTAAATTGTGTGTTATATTTTCTGCTTTCAGCATCTACGTTGTTTTATTTTCAAATCTTTAAAATATAAAAAAGGAGTACATGTTACTCTATTCTGTTTTCACATTTCTGAAATTATAAACAAGATGTTGTATTTGATATTAGTGCAGTGTTTCATGCTTCATACTAGAAAAAAAAAGAATTTCAGATATTATTGCAAATTATAAGTCAAATAATTCCTTGTTTTCATTTTACATAAAAAAGCATACATTGTCCTGTGAATGATAGTATGATACTATCACCCACCCATTTTACAACTATCACTTTTTTTAGCAAGTCCCACAATTATATTGACTTTCTACTTTACACTCCACTAAATTTCTACCTTTCTAAATTTACCATTTTATGAATTCACAAATGAAATCTGCCCAACTGTTTATGAGGATGATCCACTTTAGGGGGTGACTGTGAAACGTAGATCACGTATAATTTGATCACTTTATATCCATGTAAAAAGCAATTGAAACCTACAAAGAGCAGCAGATGGAGTTTAATCCAAATTTACACAACAATGACCAATCAAACATGTTTATGAATAGTATAAATTTGAGAACAAAACAAAAGAAAACATAACTCGTCAAAACATAAAACAGGAAATATTAACCAAACCCTAAATAGTCCAAATTTAAAGCCCAAAGTGAACTGCAGTCAGTCCAGTGTTGTTTAAACCTCTTTGTGGTGCAGTTTGGTTTCCCAAATAATTACCTATGTGGCGTGGTGTGGTGTGGTGTGGTGCAATGGATCCTCCATGACTCCATTCCTCCCAGTCTTCCACACCTCACCGCACCCGCCCACTGCTAGTGAGTACAAAGAAATAATTTATTCACTGAAAACCAGAGAGATACTGGTATCTAAGCACCTCCTGATTGAAAACATGTGTACCTGGTAGCAGAGAAAATGTCATCAAACTTCTTTTTCAGTATAGCTGGCTCTTGTAGTGGCCAATTGGCCTCATCTTGGTGTACAAAAATCACATTATCAATAATAGCCTTAGACACACCCATAAGAGCTGGTATTTCACGGTCCATATCTGCACATCTATAACTTAAGCAAACTTTCTGCAATTAAAAGCAAACAAACGAACAGAATCAGGATGAGTACACCTCATCACAATCAACCCTTCAAATAAAGGTGTATGAATGCATTGATGATTGGAATAATAATTGTTTAGTCAAGTGAGAAAGAATTACACAAACATAAAATAAATAACAGATGAAATAGAGAGCACAAATCTGAATTTAATAACTTCACTAAATTTATTAACAACGTAAACCAAGCATCAAGCAACAGCAATTCAGATTTAAAAGGAAAACTGAAAACTTGCAAACCATCATGTTTAGAGAGATCAAGGTACACTTGATCAGTTTCTAGAATTATATGCTACAAAATATAGGATATGTTTGGCACAACTAGATGAAAAGATACTTATATTAGCTTTTTAGTAATTGTTAGTTTTTAGTGACCGAAAAGATCTTAAAATAAAAAGGTGGTAGTTGTTTGATAAAAAAATGACTGTTTGATTTAATTCTGTTTGGCATACAAGCTGTTGGGACTAATTAATGCTAAAAGCTACATACTTTTCTCGCTACTCACTATAGCATCACAATAGAGATCTTTTATTTTTAGGAAAGCTCTTAACAATTGTCATGTTGAACATTCAACTAGAAGCTTTTAGAAACATTTAAATAGTACCAAAGCTACGAGGTAGGGACTCATGCCTACCAAACATGCTCATAATTGTATGTGTGAAAAGTACTTCACTTTCATATGCACTCAGCAATCAACTTAGATAGATCGCTTGTTTCCGAATCAAGTTTTATCAGGAGTATTTAAAGAAACCAAATTGTGATTTGCATATCAATGGTAACTTTGTCACAGACAAAGTTGAGAGAGGAGAGTGGCTTTTAATGTCAAGAAATTCCAGCAAATTCACATTTCCGTACCATTCCAACTGGTATGAACTCAAAAACGTGTTAAAAGGCATTAGCCTCATCTTATCAAATGTACAGACACACAAATGGCACTCAGAATTACAACTCAGTGTGAAATTTTCTTTTGAAGGATGTTAGCTTGAAGTTTTTCAAGATCATGCTGAACCCTAAATGGCCAGAAAGCAAAGCTCAAAATTCAAAAGTTATGAACAATTGACCATCTATGAAAAGCACCAATACCTCTCCAGTGTGAGGATTAATGGTTTGGAGCACACTCTCAAGAGCCTTATACTCCATCTTAGTGGCCTTCTGAGTTAGCTGAAATGACCTAATGCAGACAACATCCTTCCCTGCTGCAGTCTTAAACCGCATCTTAATCTGTCCTTTGGTCTCTGTCTCCCCTGCCACCTATATCAGACGATAAATTGCTTTAGAAAATTGTTCAATAATTAATATCATTTTGCATGTCAGATACATACTGAGAAACAAATCAGACCAAAGACAAAGGCCCTTTTACCTTTGGATCATGAACAAAACTTTGACCGGAACGGGCGTTAGGTGGCAACTCTCCTGTGCAAGCCACCTTCAAGCACTCAATGATTGTCTGTCACAAGAACATACTCGGTAGTGAATAACATATATGAACAGCAAATGCACATACAATTCCGCACGATAGGGAAAGCTACTAAATATCGTCTTGATTAAGTTGCATGTCCAAGCAAATGTATGGAGACAGTTACAACTCCAACCAGTACACAGAATGTATCTAGATATACAAATATGACCGCAATGAGAGTAGAGAGTGAGCATGATTACAGTTTTTCCGGCGCCGTTGGGACCTACAATGAGGGTTAAGGGTTTGAAAAATGTAACAACGTTCCGGTTCTCCGGGTCAAAGCTCCGGATTCCCTTTATGAGCATCTTGTCCACCGTACTCATTTTCGCTACTTCTCTATCAAATACGAGTAAATGATTCGGGAGCTAAAAGTAGCACAGCTGCTAGAGTGCTAGAGCTCAGGGTGGCAAAGCTGTGGAGTCTGATGGTATTACCCGGTAGAAAATACAGTCCCTGCGTATCAAAAAATCATTCTACCTTTCGAACAGTGATTAAATAATTTTCTCTTCTAAATCCTCATAAATGTTATTACTTCAACTTTATTAATAAAAGCTCGTAGTCTTTGATAAAAAAATGTTTCTCAAAAGGTAAGTTAATAGTGTTCGATAAAATAAGTTTTTTGTGTAATAAAAAAAGTAAAAAGACGTTAAAACATCATCTACTTGCTTTCAACTATTAGATTTTTAGTTCTTAATTTAGGCAGAAGCTATCACTTGAAAACAACAATTTGAACTTATTTAAACCAAAAGTTGAAACGCTTTTTTTGCAAACACTCCCTAGATTATTTTGTAAATGATTCAAAATTTGTGCGCTGCTACAATTATATTTTTTTATTTGTCTTTCATTTCATTACATTATTTCATTATTTGAAAGCAAACACTGTCAAATATTTATATTCTCTATCACTATTTATAATCTTACCGATGCAGGATATATTACTTTACTTCTAGCTGTTATAGTTAGTTACAGTACCAGGAGTCAATCTTGACAAATTAGTTAGTCAATGGTTTGTATATAAACTGAACACATGTACGTATGAAATCATTGAGAAGCTAATACAACCACTTTAATCTCTTTCATCTCTATCATTCTATTCTCTCTTAATCTACTACTCACATTGTTCTAAAACTCGTTAGGCGCTAGTTGGGTAGTTGAGGGGTGCCTGACACCTAGGCGGTCCAACTAGGTCGATTTTTTAGCCGACTAGACCGATTTTTTTGCCGGGTAGGTTGATTAATCAGTCCAACTAAGCCGATTTTTAGAACATTGACTACTCCTGAACATTGAAAAATCATCTCGGATTGTTCTCCATCTACTTCTGAAATCCCTACATTTCATTGAAGTTCCTCAAGATCATTTAGCCGACTAGACCGATTTTTTGCCGAGTAGGTTGATTAATCAGTCCAACTAAGCCGGTTTTTAGAACATTGACTACTCCTGAACATTGAAAAATCATCTCGGATTGTTCTCCATCTACTTCTGAAATCCCTGCATTTCATTGAAGTTCCTCAAGATCATTAGTGATTTTATGGACCTTCATCATTGGTATCAGAGACAGCAAGTACTCCATTGATTGGATACTATCATCATTTTCTTCAAGAGCTCTGCTCAAATTCCATAAGGTGTGAAACGATTCTTCCAAAATGGTGCAAACTCGTCAAGATACAGTTAATTCGGAAGACCAATTCAAATCCCTTGAACAAAAATTCCACATATTGGAACACAATCAACAAAAAAGTACTCAACAAATTGAAGTGCTGATACAGAAAATGAGTGAAAAGATACCTCACCAGGAGAGAGAACCAGTAAATACGCATGAAATTGAGGGTGAAGATTGATATTCACACCACAAATTCCTTATATGAAGATGTGAGCTCTCTCATGATTCTATCGAAATTATTCCCAAGATATAATTTCCTTGATTTGATGGATTCAATGTACAAAATTGGTTAAATAAAAGCAAGAGGTACTTCTCATTGTGCAAGATTGTAAACATTGTTTCTTAGTATGTGACTGATAAAGCTGATGTTTGATTTGATGATTATATAACTGGAAAGGATAATGTGATGTGGGTTAGGTTTACTATTGATGTTACAGCTAGATTCAGTTATGAATTGGGTACAAAGGTAATTGAAAGATTTAACAAGGTGCAACATGTTGGGAATTTAGAGGAGTACATTGATGATTTTAAATCATTAAAGTCTAAAATTTTGCAAGTTAAACCTCATATGCTTGTTGATTATTTCTTGGACAATTTTATTGGAGGATTAAAAGTCACAATAAAACCATTTGTTCAGCCTTTTCATCCCACAAACTTGAATTTTGCAATTGGATATGCAAGATTGCAAAACTATAGTCATCACACATAAACCTTATGCATCATCATTCAAGCAAATCATCCAAAACCAGTATTACCTTCACCCACAAGTAATCAAGCTAGCTCTTCAATTTTTCAGAAAGACAAGTTTTCAAGAAAAACTTCAGTAGCAGAAATGACAGCAAGAAAGGAGCTGAGAAAGGATTATGCATGTACTATGGAAACCTTACACACCTGGACATCATCTAAAACATAAAGAGAATGGAACTCAAAATGATAGAATTGAATGAAGAGAAAGAGGGAATTGTGCAAGAAATAATGGAGGAGCCTGTGATAGAAACAAAAATATCCTTCAATGCTATGATGACAGGGAGACGTTTCATACCATGAGAATTACAGGAAATTATAAGAGCTTTGCATGTGTTTTTGGATCCTGGTGCCACTCACAAATTTATAGATGAGAAATGGGTTAATAGGAAGAATGTTTGTGAAGTCAATTTGCAAAGGACTTATTTGGAAAATACAAAACATTGAATTCACATTTGATTGGAGTGCTCCAAATTGCTCCTAGAAGCACTTTTTTAGAAGTTGAGGAAGATCGGCTTCTGAAAAACTAGTTCTGATTCTGCATCTACTTTTAAAAAAGAAGCAAAAGTAGAATTAATTATGAACACCCCCATAGTTAGTTACAATATCAGTAGTCAGTTTTAACAAATTAGTTAGTCAATGGTTTGTATATAAACTGAACACATGTACGTATGAAATAACTTAGAAGCTAATACAATTGCTTTCATCTCTTTCATTTCAATCCTTCTATTCTCTCTTAATCTACTGCTCCTTAACAATCAGAAATTATCTCGGATTGTTCTCCATCTACTTCTGAAATCCCTGCATTTCTCTGAAGTTCATCAAGATCGTTACTGGTTTTTTAGACCTTCATCACTCACCCACTTTCCATGTATGAAGATATAATTATTTGGGAGGGATTATAAACCAGTGATAGACCCTTTACACCCCAAACATTACTTGGTGTACCAATTTTTCATTATAATTGGACGGTTTTGTCCCATTCCATAATTTTGTTACGTTGCCACTTTTTTCTTATCCTGTATGACTTGTTTTTTTGTTTTCTTCTCTTGAACTACTCTAATGTTATGATTTTCTTTGTCAAATTGAGGATAGGTAGACTCCACTTTTAGTATGGATAATTTCGCCGAAATTATTTAAGTTAGAGTAATAATTTCTATTTAGCTTATTAAAAAAGACTTTCTATTTAGCAAAGATTTTAAATATCAAATTAAATCGTCAAAAATTACTCTGTGCTCATACTTAAATTTGTACGGTGTGTGAATATTTTTATATAAACTTATTGTAGTATCAAATCGGTCATACCCAACTTAGATAATAATAGTAAAACATGCATGTAACAAGTTTGTACTTTATTAGAAATGATTTTATTAGACCAAATATACATATTTTACATCACAGTTAAGCACATATTTAACATAGCTTTACTAGACTATATAATACCAAGTAAGATTTAAACAGATCCGAATGCTTAGATTTTTTAGATTCATATGAAATAATATTTTTGTCATTTAAAACTCAAAAAATAACATTTTGATCATTCCCTTTTATACTTTCATAGTGTACTTACGATTATTAAAATGCATTTATAAACTTAAGTTGCATGTCTTCCAAATGAGAAAAAATAGTTATGCCATTTTACATAAATTAAACTAATTTTGTATCAATTCAACGTATATGAAATATTTTAATGGAGGGGGCGTTAGGGCGGCAGTGGCACTGAGTCACCGGGTTCTTAAGGAGGCAGTGGCAATGGCGGGGTGTAGGTGTCACTAGTTGTCACTTGGCCGGTGTTGGTGTCAATGGAAGCATAAGGGAAACAGTCACCGGTCAGCTGCACCGAGTCACTGGATTGTTGGGGTCACCATTGGTGGTTGCTGGCGGTGGCGGGTCGCTGGTGGCGTTTGGTCAATGGCGTGCGCCGAAGGTACTTGGGAACAAAAGTCACATTAATTTAAGTGGTATAAAATCCATGATTTAGTCTATTTTTTGGAATTTTCTAAAAGCAGTCCTATTTTATCAATAATTTCTCTTTTGATATTATCTACAGAGTATATCATAACCCTTGTGAGATATTTATAACTTTAATTAACATTTTAGGATTATTTAACCTTTTATATTTTTGTCATTCGAAACTTTAAAATTAATATTTGAGTTCTTTTAAATACATAATCTTATATGGTTTATTTATGATTAATAAAAAGAAGTAATAGTATTAAGGTACATGTTTTAAAATGTAAAAATGACTATTGTGTTTTAAAATTGGTTTTAATTTTATTCTATTTTTAAAATGTATTAATATTTTTTAATAGTTTAATCTGGATTAATAAGATATAAAAAGGCTAGTCTAATACAAATAGAAGTAATATTAAAATTTTATTTCCATATAACACTCCGCGACACATTATTTTATATTTATTAAATAAAAAGAACATTTAAAAAGAGTGGAATTTGAAAGACATAACGCAACAAATTGTGTTTGAAGTATGGTTGGACTCGGGTCGGGCCACCCGGCCCGTGGACCGGCCCGGCCCGCTACTGTGCGGGACCGGGACCGGCCCGGTTCTCGGGTCCGGGTCGGGCCTAGGCCCGGGGGTAGGGCGGGTCCGAGCTCGGGTCTCAAATTTGGTGAACCGGCCCGGGTCAAATTGATTTTTTTTTTTTTTTTCATTTTTGGGGTTCCACCCGGGTTGTTCTTGATGGGTAGGATGGGTTTGGGGGGGGGGGGGGGGTTGGGAGGGTGGGGTGTGAGAGGGGGGGGTTAGGAAAGCAAAAAAAAAATCGGAGGCCCGGCCCGGACCCGGACCGGACCCGGTGGCTACCCGGGCCGGTCCCAGCTCCACCATTCTTGAACCGCCGGCCCGCCCGGGCCTAGGCCCGACCCGGACCCGGCCCGGACCCGAGTCCACCCCTAGTTTGAAGCGATTGGCAAGGTGTGGACATCACTTAGCATAAAAGGTTAATAAGGAGACGTTCATTGCATCCCCACATCACCAAATGCCTTTTCTATTACACATGCTCTCTCCTATGCAGAAAAAATAGGCCTAGTCAAGCTTATGTGGCAATTGGAAAAGAACAATTCAGTCTCATAGAAGGTCTCTGTTGGGATCTCGCTTGCCACTTCCTGACAAATTAAAAGTGAAAAGTGTGGGCCTATGTGTAATGACACCCACTTTATTTTAGTTTTTTTAGTTTTTACTTTCCATCATTTGCAATGGAGCCAAAGATTCATTATTTTTGGACTTTAGATTATGATGGAATAAAGCAAAATGACTCACTAAACTGTCTGCGCTTCTTTGTTATGGAGCATCAATCAGTCCATGCAATTTTGGACGCGATTTTCACTATGGGTCATCCGGAAACAGTCTCTCTGTGTTTAGTACAGAGGTAAGACTGCATATAGGGATGGACCCGGGCCGGTCTGGTTCCGGGCTGGTCCGATTCCGGTTCCGGGCCCGGGCAGGCTTTTTTTGCAAAATGTTGGGCCCAGAATCGGCCCGGGTTGATACCGGGTCCGGGCCTAACCGGGCTGGGCTGGGCCCGGGTCAAGTTCATTTTTTTTGGTTTCTAATTAACACCCGACCCCCCCTTCACCCCCACCCCCCTTCACCCCCCATAAACACCCAACCCTAACCTAGAAAAGCAAAAAAAAATTGAAAAAACAAAAAAATTGAACCGGGCCCAGACCGAACCGCTCGGGCCGGTTCACCAAAAGTTGGGCCCGAGCCCGGCCCACCCGACCCGCCCAAACGGGCTAAAAGCCCGAAACCGGCCAACCAGTCCCGGTCCGGTCCGGGCCCAAACAGTAAGGGGTCAGGCCGGTTCCAGGTCGGGCCGGCCCGGTTTAGTCCATCCCTAACTGCATACATCTAACCCCCTTACTCCACCGTAAGTGAGAACCTTTGCGGCACTGGGGTAAATAAAAATGAAAATGAAATGATTGGAGAAGTCTCTAAATGAATTATCTCCATTTTGTAATATTTAGTCCACATGGTAAATACACCTTGTGCACAATCTTGTCATTTCAACTACAATGGACCTCACATGGTAAAATGGTAAATACACCTTGTGCAAAATCTTGTCATTTCAACTACAATGGACCCAATGTGGCGATGTATTGGAGATGTCCTTGGTGAGTCTGACTGTCTGAGTACTCCCGTTTCTATTTAGTACATACGGCCTTCAGACTTCAGTGTTTAGCTGTAAACAAATTATTAAGTCAGGGATTTATTTGTTAGGTTGGAGATTAGTTTGTAGGAGGGTTGCAAAAAGCTAAAAAATATGTTTTGTTAATTTAGTTAATTAGTTTCTGGCTAGAGTATAGCCTATAGTGGTCTGGTCACTTGGTAATATCTGGTTCCAAAATGTTAATTTCAAATGGACACTTTGCATTGTTTTTATTTCAACGATTTCATCAAAAAACACTAAAGCCGGACAACTATTTACCAAAGAATGAATCATTGTCGCAACTAATTGAAAATGTAAAAAAAGATCGAACCACAGTTTTTACTGAAACGTTTTTCTCATACACATCCATAATATAAGCACTTCACGAAGTTGCATCAGAGTTTGAAAGTTCCATACTCCACCAAATTGAGGGTCTTGTACTCTTGTTACTCTTGTAATGTTTTTGGAACCTACATTTGTATAATTGATTTCGAAGACTGAGCAGCTAATTGTATAATGAGAGACGCTCTTTATTCTAGCAAATATTATACACTTCACCGGATGAGGCGCACCAACATGATGAGCGTCAGGTGGTTGGTTATACAAAAGCTGAGAGCAATCCTCTAGAGGCTTGCAAACTGGAAGCAAAGTCTCTGGCCCACAAGTCATAATGTACAATTTCCTCCAAAGAAGGCGATGCCACCACCTCTGCTTGATGCTTATCACAAGTTAGCTCAACAATCTTGAAAATGTCGAGGTAGCTAATTCTGAATGAACCACAAAATTTAATCACGTAAGCGAAAAGAAATACAATGTGGAGCTAGCTGCAAAGAATAGAGAGACTGTTTCCGAATGACCCATAGTGAAAATCGCGTCGCAAAATACATGGACTGACTGCTGCTTCACAATAAAGAAGCGCAGACAGTTTAGTAAGCCATTTTGCTTTATCCCATCATAATTGAACTGATATTTATTTTTAATTGAGCTTAAATTGTCATTTCATTAATTATCCTTCAAAACCCTCCAAATTGGGGGAACTTAAAAATTGAGCATTTAGAGGGTTTTGGAGGGTCATGAAAGCCCTCCAAAACCATCCCCTCCAATTTTATAAACTCCCAAACATGAAAAGAAGGGTTATAACCCCATCAACCTTCCCCTCCCCTCCAAAACTCAACTCCCAAACACACTCTTAGGGTCATTCCCATATTTGGTTTCCAACTTTCAGTTTTCCCAATTCAGGTGCATGGCAGTGAACTCTTTCTCGCTTTTGGTCTTTTTTCAGTCAGTTCCAGAAAGAGTTGCAAAGTAATCAGCCGGATAGGTGGTGGAATACTAAAAGTAACAAGAAATCCATAGCCATACACCAAAAATGGGGGGAAGAAGAAAGTGAGTGACCACAGATGCACCAAATGACCTAGTGGTGAGGCCGACAAAAGGGGAGATCTAAGTTTTTTTTAAAATGATGACACCCCATCCCTGAGAGTCTCCAGAACCGACCGGACAGTTATCTAGAAGGATGTAAGTTGAGTTTTGATAACTATGATGGAAAGAGAATGTGGTTCCATCTCAAGTTATTGCTTGGAGTTGAACCCGAGACATCTCCCTTGTGGCACCCTCATCGTACCAGGTGAGCTACGCCCCCCGGTATGGACATTCGTCCAGGGGTGAGAATGGTGGTGAAATGTGTGCAGGTAATCTCATTCAGTATGAAACACTAATATCCTATTCAAGGTACCTACTTCTCATTGATAAATAACTCAACGGCTTTTTCATTTGCAGCACTGAGAACTCCTGTCATCGTCCCTCCTGCCCGCCCAGCAGCATAAGCGAGATCCATGGACGGGTATTTTACCTTGTCCGGGTCTTTAAATGTCAACGACCCAATCCTATATAATAGTTAGTCAAAACATTGTTCTTCAAAAAATATGGAATAGAAATATTACTCCAAATGGCTGCTCTTAAAATGAGCATTGTTTGCTTACTTGCAGAGATCAAGGCGGGGCCATGTGATCTCAGAACAACGAATTCTCTCTGGCCATGACATCGTATAGAGAATAGGAAGACGCATATCAGGCCAGCCCAACTGTGCCAGTATAGACGAATCCTGCAGAATTATAAAAAATATGGGGGTGTTGGTATTAATATGCATTGTCATTTGAGTCAATGCCCAATTTGCAACATGGACTCTACACTATTACCTAATTTGACCACACTTTTCTTGGAATCACTTTGACTGGCCCTTGCGTTTGCAATTTTAGTCTTCCAATATATCTTGCTTCAACTCAAAAACTTACTTATGGCCACTCGAGTGATTGAGTTTTTGGTCCAAATCGGATTCTTTTTAATCTTTAGGGACAAAATAAGTTTTCAAATATTGACACTTTTTGAATGGGACAGCAACAACAACAGCCACATCCAAGCCTTAGTCCCAAAATATTTTGGGATCAGCTAACATGAATAATTATGTGCGTGTATAATTATATCAAACTATAGAATTTATACTATGTATGTAGTATTTGGTGCTCAAGCATTATTCAAATTGATTATACTTGTATTTTTATTCGTATTGAATGTGATTCAGATCAAAATATACACCAAGATTCTTATTGAAATTCAGCAAAAATGAACCAAAATTAAATGCCTCGTTTACAACTCCTATGACAGACAGACTATATTGGACTAGTTTAGGTACTTTCAAGGATTAACTTGGGAGCCAAATTAGGTTTAGGAGTACATTACGTCCAGTGGACGGAAATCATCTTGTCAAAAATATGGTGGAAGGGGGATAACATCAAACCGACATAGTCAAGGAGCATATCTAGTTACAAATTTTGTCAAGGATCAAATTGAGTTATACTCCTCCCTCTGCCCCTTATAATTTTGGCATTTTTTTGTTGTCCCAAAAATTTACCATTTTCCTTTTTAATCAATTAATTTGTGATTCCTATTATTTCTCTACTCTCCACAAACCTCAACTACACGTCTACATGGTTCTTAATTTATTGTTCTCCATGCTGCATTGCTGCTTAAACTTGGCAAATTTATAAGGAACGGAGGGAGAATACTAGTATATGTATAGTCGAGGGACAAAAAGAGTATTAGTTATTAATATTATTTTTATTTATCCCACGACCTGTGTTTCAATCATGGAATGGATGATGGACTGTGGGTGAATCACAATTTCAATGTCATCATACTCTGCACCGAATAGATAATGAGCCTCGATTACTTCTAGACCCTATAAGAAGCATGAAAAAAGGATTATTTCTTGTGATGCAATTAGAGATATAGGGGAGACCTAAACTTGTAAAATAAATAAAAAAGAGTTTATTTACCTTATTGAATAGGGTGGCAGAATCAACGGTGATCTTTTTACCCATAGACCAATTAGGATGCTTTAAAGCATCGGCTACTTGCACATCTTTCAATTTATCAACAGGTAAATCCCTATCATTATGGATCAAAAAATAAAATCCCTATCATTAATGGCAACGAAGAACATCAACATTGGTATTCTTTATCTTGATGCATGTCACTCTTGCTAAATGTAAGTATGAATCCATCAAACATGTCTTAAAACATCTCAAGTTGGTTTTGAATAAACTATTATCAAGTTATTTGCTACCTAATAAATTTTAATTTATATAGTTATCTAAAATTAATGAATAATGGATCGTACTACGATTCCAGGATTTGCTTGATAATGCAATGTTAGGCATTGCCCATTGACATGGTCTTGCTGGTGATCGGTTTTGTCACCCGCGTCTTGTTTGTCATACTTCGGGTGATAATCAGATGCAACAAATCCAGTGTTGGTTTCCTTGAACAATCAGTGTTTATCATTTTTTATTAATATTCTTTTTATCTTTATCTTTTTATCCTAGCTTATCTTTTTATCGCTCTTGTCTTTCTTTTTCTTTTAACTCTGATATCATGTATCAATTCATGTTATTGACCTCAAAATATTTTGGAACTAAGACTTGGATATTGTTGTTGTAATACATAGTAATCATATTTCATTTTCTTTTGCTTCTCCTGAAGTAAACCAAGCATAAGAAAATAAGTTTCCTAGGAATTTCTTTCCTTTCACTAACCCTTTCTTGTATCCAAGCATAGCCTTAGACTTTGTAGAAAATGACTTACAGTTCCTTAAACAGCTCTCTGTTTTCTATTTTTGTGGTAAAACTACAAATAAAACATTCAATAACTTATTTTCCTACGAAAACATTTTTTATGGAAACAAACTGAGCCTAAAAGGGAGATTGGACCTCACACATAAGCTCAGATTCAGCTACCCTACAGCTAGTCCAGATGGATAGCCCTTGGCCATGCTGTTATAATATAATGATAAATAAATATTACTCCGGGTAATAGAAAAGTATACTATTAACGGTACAAAGAAGTGGAGAAAATGATGAAAAGAAATACTGTTATAGGAGTAGAGATATGAGTGCAGTGGGCTAGCTTAACTCGAAACAACTTAAAGCTTTACCAATGTGGGTCTGTTTGTATTGAGGGGTTTGGAAGGGAAAACATTTGAGGGCTTAGTCTGCCTTGATCAATGGAATGTTTAAAAATAAAATGTACGCGATCACATATTATAACCCTTCAATTTTATCAAAATATCAAATACATGTATCAAGATATATGCATCCAAACCCTCCATTTGCATGTTAGGTGAGGCTATTACAATGAAATTATCAACTCCAAAACCTTAGTGAAGGTCGATTGAGTCAGTGAACAGTATCTTTAACATGAAGGGAGAATTTCTAAGACTGAAAGGAAGGCATATGTTGATACTTGATGTGCAGAATATTAAAAACCATTATTTTTACCTGAAAGCTCCTCCAGAAGCCGTTAGAATTATACGTCTAAGTGCACCCTCTGGCAAGCCTTGAATACACTGACAAGAAAAGTGCATTTTGTTAACCTTTACAATTAGAAAGGTTCATTGTGGAAATTGTTGGATATTTTGTACTAATTGTTGTGATACTGTAGCGTGTACAAATTACAAAAACGTTTACACCAACTCACCAAGCATTTGTGGTTCACTGTACACTGAAGTTTATAGGTTTCGCTTGGAACTTTGAAAATGCAAGGGGAAGAGTTTCTTCAGTACTGTCTATTTTTTGAAAAGTTTGTATTGTTACTAACTTCCTATGTGAAAACTTAAAACTGTTTCTATTTGTGGAAAACAAAACTCAGTTTTCCTCAAATTATGCTGATATTTAGTTGATTTTTTATACTACCTCCGTCCCGTTGAAAGGTTCTCATTGCAAAACGGTACAATTATTTAGACAATAACTAAATAGGCATATATTTTGTTCGAGTATATTTTGAGAAATAATTTTAATAGGCATATAATATAATGGGGTTAGTGTTGATAATTCTAATGTTATAAATGTATTACTTTTAATATTTAATGATTAAATTGTCATTTAAGATTGTTAATTGTTTCCTAAATAGAAATGAGAACGTTAATATGGGACGTCCAAAAAAAGAAAGTGGGAACCTTTCTATGGGACGGAGGGAGTATTTAATAAATTTATTGTTGTCCTCAAGTTATTAAGATTGTTAATTGTTTCCTAAAATAGAAATGAGAACCTTTATATGGGACGTCCAGAAAAAGAAAGCGGGAACCTTTCTATGGGACAGAGGGAGTACTTAATAATTTTATTGTTGTCCTGAAGTTATCAAGTTGTTTGCAATGGCTTAACATGGCTGATCTGGAAACCAATACCAATGAAACTATGGATCCATCAAAAGATCCTACCAGAAAAGTCAAATCAAATGATCCTAGATGAAAGTTTGGTTTTTGGCCGGAAAAAAGTAACCAAGATTTGATGGAATACTCATTTTGTGGCAGGAGAATGCATTCCGGAATTAAACGGTTGAAGCAACACATAGTTGGCGGTTACGGGATATTTTTGATAACTCCATAAATTAGAATTTTGATAGATAATTATATGAAGAACAAAAGGAAGGATAAGGTACAAGTAGGTGCTCAGTTAGATGATAAATATGATGAATTGGACTAGGATCCAACAACACAAGGGTCATCTGGTGCCTCTTCTATTTATCTAGTTCCTAGTTCCTTGTACTAAGTCCAAAGAAGATGTGAAGAAAGTTCATGGGCACAGTGCAGTTTTTTTCTATGAGAATGACAAACCTTTCATTGTTGCAAACTCAAGAAGCTGCGAGATAACGATTGAGTCAATGGGCAGTTTAGCCCCGAGCTTAAACCTCCCAAGTTACCATGAAATAAGAGTGCCTCTTCCCAAGAAAGCAGTGAAGGAGACACAAAATTGAAGGAAAAACATGAAGTTGCTTGGAAGCAATATGGACGCACATTGATGTCGAACGAATGGATGGATAAAAGGAGATGACACTTGATCAATTTTCTCGTTAATGATCCAGAAAGGAATTTCTTCTTGGAGTACATTGATGCTTCACGAGAGTCATACGATGCAAAAATGCTTGCGACATTGCTTGAGAAATAGATTCAAAAAATCGGCAAAGAAAATGGCATTCAAGTTGTGACAGATAATGCGTGAACTACAAAGCGGCGAGTAAACTACTAGAGCAGTGTATATCAGCACTTTTCAGGACACCTTGTGCACCCCACTTCCTACACCTTATGATGGAAAATATTGGGGAGCTCAGCGTGTTTAAGCCTTAGATTTGTTGTGCCAGACGTAGTACCACTTTCATTTATAGGCATACGAGGAATATCTGGTGCCATTGCCTCGCCACAAGATGACAAGTCGGATACGGCGTCGTTCAGGCACAGTCTTGCCGTAGTTTGGACAGAGAGGAGGTGCCATTTTTTTAGAAAACGACGACGGTCCAGGCTTAGTCTTACTCTACGAATTGATTGTTAGGCTGAATCGTCGATTTCCAAGAATTTCAGTAATCCAAAGCGAAATTGATGTGTACATCTCTAGATGAATAAACCCCACAAGTCCCAAAAGCAATTCGCTCCAGTCTGTTGTTTTTTGCTCTCATATCGCAGGCGGCAGGTCCCTTAATGGTTACTTTTGTCGAGTGGGTCGCTAAATTAAGTAGACATAGTAGAAGTATTTAAGGTTTACTTGTTTATAGCATCATTGCTGCAGGATAAAGGAGGAGAGTGTTGTGGTAGGAGCGTGACGGCCAACAATATCACGTAGTCACATCACATGACATGAATCGAAATATGAATATCACTACAGCTAGGTTGTGGCCGTAAACGACGTGTCATTCCTCCGCCTGGGGTGGTGTCAAATGAGCAAGGACGCGCTACACTTCATAGGTCTAGGTGTGGTGATAAGAATGCTAAGACTACTAGGTCGTCGCCCGGAAATGACGCGCCACTCCGATGCCCAGGGATGGTGTCAAAATGTCAAATATGCAAGGGCAAGGTGGAGTCGATGTGGTGTGAAGAAGAGAAGGCAGGGTGCTAGATTGCGTTTTGGGACATGAAAATGTGGGATGTTAGCTCTCTTATGTGAATATCATCTGAGATAGCCGAGGTTATGAAGAGGAGGAATATCAACATAATGTACATGCAAGAAACTAAGTGAGTTGGAGAAAAGGCACGTAAGATTAATCCCGGAGGTTTTAAGCTATGGTATTCGGGGGGAGAGAGGAACATAAATGGAGTAGGTATTATGGTGGCACAAGATTTTGTTGAGGGTGTGGTTGAAGTCTTTAAGAAGAACCATCGCATCATGAACATTAGGTTGATAATAGGAGATGAGATCGTGTCCGTGGTAAGTGTCTATGCACCACAAGTGGGGATGCATCTATCACTCAACAAGTTTGGGAGGATCTGGAGGAAGTGGTGCGACGAGTGCCAAGGGGAGAGAAGCTGGTCATACGAGGCGACCTCAACGGGTATGTGGGCCCAAATCGTGATGGTTTTGAGAGTATCCATGGTTTTGGCACTAGAAATGAAGCAGGGAAGAACATTCTGATTTTGCCTCGACATATGAGTTGGTTGTGATGAACACTTGGTTCAAGAAAAGAGACTCTCACCTTGTCACCTATAGAAGTGGAGCTAATAATACCTAAATTGACTACTTTTTAGTACGGACGACTTGGAGAACTAGCTACACTGATTGTAAGGTTATCCCAGGTGAGAGTGCTGTCACTCGACATAGGATGTTTGTGCTTGACTTTCAAGGTAAAAAGAGGAGGCGGGTTAAGGTACAAGGGGAGCCAAAGGTGAAGTGGTGGAGGCTCGAGGGGAATCTCCAACAAAGTTTTGCACATAAAATGTTGGAGGAAGATGTATGGTCTATTGATAATGACGCACATGTGGTCATGTGGATGATGTGTGTTTATCAATGGAGTCCACCTTTAACAAAGTGGCGAAGGATATACTTGGAGAATCTAAAGGATGTCTGCCACCAAAAAAGGACACGTCTTGGTGGAATGATGAGGTGAAACAAGCAATAAGGACCAAAAGGTAATGCTATAAGAAATTGGGCAAAAGTCGGAGCGACGAGAATTTAAAGGAGTACAAGGAGGCTAGAAGAAGAGCAAAGAAAGTTGTGGAGGAAGTCAGAGAAAAAGTGAACAATGAATTGTATGTAAAATTGGACTCTAAGGAAGGAGAAAAAGAAATCTACAGACTTGCTTGCCTTCGTGATCGTAGGACTCAAGATATCGGAAAAGTTAAGTGTGTGAAGGATGTTGATCAAAGGGTACTAATGGAGGACGCGGAAATAAAAGAGAGGTGGAGGTCATACTTCGAACCTTGTTCAACAGGAATAAAGTGCAAGGTATTGATGATCTTACTATACCAGAGTGTATGGTAAATCAGGACTTCGTGAGAAGGATTCAAACAACAGCAGTTAAAGAGGCTATGAGAAAAATGGGGCGGAAGAAAGCAGTGGGCCTAGATGGCATACCGATCAAGGCTTGGAGAAGTTTGGGAGAGAAAGGCATTGAGTGGCTAACACGTTTCTTCAACATGATTTGGAGAAACAACAAAATGCCAGTGAGTTGGCGGAAGAGTACCCCCATTACCCTATTTAAAAATAAGGGTGATGTACAAGAATGTGCCAACTATCGAGGGATTAAGCTTATGTGTCACACGATGAAACTTTGGGAGCGAGTGGTTGAGCAAAGACTTCGTAAAAGTCTGAAAACTTCGGAGAATCAATTTGGTTTTATGCCTGGACGCTCATCAACTGAGGCCATTCACCTTCTTAGGCAAGTTGTGGAGAAGTATAAAGACACAAAAAAGGACCTGCATTTGATGTTCATTGACTTAGAAAAGGCATATGATAGGGTACCTCGAGAAGTCCTTTGATAGGCCTTAACTAGAAAAGGCATATCACGTAAGTATATCAGTATCATCATAGATATGTATGATGCTTGTACTACAAGTGTCCGCACTGGTGTAGGGAGGACCGCAGAGTTCCCTATTACTATCGGAGTGCACCAAGGATCTGCTTTGAGTCCTTTCTTATTTGCTATAGTCATGGATGAACTTACAAAGTTAATTCAAGAAGATATACTGTGGTGCATGATGTTTGCCGACGATATTGTATTGATTGATGAGACGCAATCCGGTGTTAAAGCGAAGTTGGAAGTATGACGACAAACATTGAAGACCAAGGGTTTCAGACTGAGCCGAAGCAAGACTGAGTATATGGAGTGCAAGTTTGGTGGAGGTAGAAGTAGTAGCAACAGTAGGATTACTCTTGATGGTAAGGAGGTACCGGTGTGTGATATGTTCCATTATTTGGGCTCCATAATTCAGAAGGATGGTGAATTAGATGGAGATGTATGTCATAGAACCAGAGCTGGGTGGATGAAATGGAAGAGTGCATCAGGATTTCTATGCAATCGAGGTATGCCGACTAGACTGAAAGGTAAATTTTATCGAACAACAACTAGGCCTGCATTAATGTATGGCGTAGAATGTTGGGCGGTGAAGTAATGCCACATTCAAAAGACGAGTGTGACAGAGATGCGTATGTTGCGTTGGGTGTGTGGACAGTGGACATACCAGAAAAGACCGCTTGAGGAATGCGATAATCAGACAAAAGGTGGGAGTATCACCTATAGAAGATAAGATGCAAGAGTCTCGTTTGCGGTGGTTTGGGCGCGTAGAAAGGCGAGTGATACACCTATACACCTGTTAGACGACTTGAGGGGTGGGGGGAAGAGACAGAGAAGAGAGGGAGGGGGGACCCAAACAGACTTGGATTAGAGGAATCAGAACTGATATGCATCTTCTTGTGTTTTCTTTGGGTTATTATTGATTTGAGTAGACCGTTTTTTTCTCTCTTTCACTCCTTAGCCTTTTTTACTTTTCTCTAACTTAGTTACTCTTTATTTTACTTCTTTCATTAGCGTTTGTACTTTTTAATAATTTTAATAAAGCTCAGTAAGAGTTTCAATAAAAAAAACCTCTTTTTATCCAAATAAAATAGAATATGTAAAAAAGTCAAAAGGTTAATCATATACGGAGTATCATTTTCTCTCCCATTTTCTGAGGCAAATCCAAACATACAAGAATATTTTTCCTCAACATTTTCTTCCTTTTCCCTCTCATTTTCCAGAATGCAAGTGTATCCCCCTGACCTCTTTACGAGTTCCGAAAATGGTCATAAAGTGACGAGAAATAGTTAGGAATCAGCAGGGAGAATGTGTACCTGGAAAATGGCAGAATGTTCGGAATCAGCAGGAAGAATCTTCACATTATGCTTTTGAGCGAGAGGAAGGACAAATGGACCACCGGCAATTAATGTCTCTTTGTTGGCTAAGGCTATGTCTTTCCCAGCCTCTATAGCCGCCACTGTGGGCTAGAAAATAAGATCTTCTCAAATTAGTATGAGTTTTTGAACCACCATTGGCGAAATTGAAAGCATAAAAATGAAGAGTTGTACAAAATTGGAGGAATCAGTTGGAGTGTTTCCTTTCTCACAACAACATCCAAGCCTTACTCCAAAAGAAAGGAGTATTTCATTTCTTAGATAAATAAAAATCAGAAGCAAATGAAATGTGTTCTTCAGCAAAATTGTTTCCACTAGGGCCCATTTGGAACTTGAAAAAGACAACAAAAGAAGATATTGACAGAACTTCCGAAGAAATGAAAATACTGGGGAAAATAGAATATTACTAAAACACAATACAATAAACTTAGACATCTGTTCAAACTCATTTATTTATATACTATCCTTCGTTCTTTAATAGTTGTAACAGTTTGACTTTCACGTTTGCAAACACACAACTTTGACTGTAACTATTTTTAATTGCATATTAGTAAACATTATAAAACGTTGATATTTTGAAAATTCACATTATAGCCTTAGTTAAAACATAAAAGATAAAGAGCCTTGCTACACGCCTACACTACCTTAAGCCCTGCACAACCAACAATTCCAGTTACAACAGTGACAGCATCTGGATGTCGGGCAACCTGAAATATTACACACACATGTACATAAATACATATGTACATACATATATTAAGTTATGATATATATAGATATATAGATATATCCAAAAATAAAATATACTCCTTGTGTTTATTTTAACCGATAATATATTTATATACAAAAGTATGTATAATATGAAAATGATATGGAAATGTTCTTTCTAAAAAACTATCAGAAAAGTATAATTTTATAAGTTTTGAAAAAATATATTAGTTGAAATGTTTGACCAAAGTCAAAGATGGCTAAGTATGTTTTTACTTGGATTGTAATTTGTTGGTCTGGTCTGTTTAAGTCTGGTCTAGTCTGAACTGGTGTGTTCTGGTACACGTATGGTCTCTATGTATTTTATAACTAAGGAAGTCTGGTCTGGTCAAATCTGGTCTGGTATGTTTAAGTTTGGTCTGGTCTGGTCTTGGACGGAAAACAATTCATTTTGTAAAATACTACCACTGTTCCGCTAACATTAGTACAAGAGGAAATGGTGCAATTACCAAGAAAAGTGAGTTTATGTGATTGATATTTAATTAATAAAGTGAAAATAAAGTAAGAATGATCGTGAACCACACAAACATTAACAAATTTGATATGAGAGAATCTTAGTATGACGGACCAAAAAAAGATGAGACAATCTTAACAAGTGAAGAGATTAGTATTTGACGGGATATGTACTGATTAACCTCAATAGCTCCTTGCTCTCCTGGAATAATTTGAGGTTTATCTTCAAGTCCAGACAAAGCTTCTTTGAGTTCATCAACCAATGATTCGTGTCGTATTGAAACTAACTTTGGTCTAAATGTTTTGACCTGCATTTAATGTATAGTTAAATTTATTTAGTTGTAAAACTAAAAAGCAACAAAATTTTAAAGTATGGCTAGAGCATTAACCCTTTTAGCAGTCATCAAATGTGTACAAGTATCAGTAGCCAAATTACAATGTCAGCAAATAAGTATGGTTGTCACAGACTCACAGCAGTCAGACGAAGCGTGGCGCCAGCCAACCACCATATAGCCTAGGTGACTAGTCACAACTTGTTTAAGATTTAAATACATACATATTTTTTTTGACAGGACCCCCACTGGCCGCCACCATTTCAGGTGTTTCTCGGTGAAATTTTTTTATGAACCTATGTGAAAATGTTATTCATGAAGTGTAGATTATGTCCACAAAATGTCAGCTTAGAATTCAAACGGGAAGGCAGTTGAATAAATTATTGAAAACACTGCACCAAAATATGTATATATATAAAGCGCAGTGTTTTTCAATTATTTATTTAATTGTCTTCCATATTGAATTCTAAACTGAAATATTGTGGATATAATCTAGATTTCATGAATAACAATCTCACAAAGTTTCATCAAAAAAATTCACCGAAAACTACCTCAAACAGCGAAGGCCGGCCGGAGGGTCCTGTCCAGATGGCTGGACAGGATCTTTCCCATATACTATGTATGTGAATATATACATATACTACCTCCGTCCCATAAAAGTCTTCCCACTTTGACTTGGCACGGAGATTAAGAATGAAATAAAATGGAAATGTATGGTTGTGGTTGTGTAAGAAAAAGGTGAAATGAATGTGAACCACACAAATTGTCAAAAAATGGTAAGTGGGAAGAATTTTTTGGGACGGCCCAAAAAGGAAAGTGGGAAGAATTTTATGGGATGGAGGGAGTATATATAAAGTACAGGGGAGGGTTCAAATACAAACACACCTTCCCATGCAAAATGAGAACAAATCTTGTGCATTCAATTCCCGATCTAATGAATCAAAATATGCCAACAATCACTACAATTGATCAAAAACGTGGTAGCAATTTCGTAAGTAGATGATACTTTTTTGCCATTGCGAAAAGTGCAATAGAACATGTAATAGTGCATCGCATTAAGCAAAAAGTGCATCTGTTCGCACTTTGCACGACAAGGTGTCTTTTTATTTGAACTCTCCCCTGAAAGTATATATAATATTCTATTTACATATATTAATTTAATATATATTATACTCCGTATATGATAGATTACAAATTGAATTGTATATTAAATAGAATTGAAACCAACAATTATTAATTATTACAACTTTTAATACGACACGTAAGATTTATACAAGGTTTATCCATATATATAGATAGATACACAAGTGTCAGACATAAATCGTGTCACGAAAAAAAGTATACCACTTCAATAATTAGATAAGGGACGTGCAGCTCAGAAAGAAGATATTGGATAAATCGATAATCTTGGTAACGAAAGACGCTGGAAGTTCGACTGGTTTCCTCCAAGGCTTCATTCACTACGACAAGAGCTCTGTGCGTTATGGGCTTCATAAGCTTTCGAACTTTGATGAGTGTGGGTTAGGAATCGTCAAATAAGACGACTTTATTTAAATTCCAAATTAAATTATTTTCCTAAAATTTTGTGTCTGAAATCTAAATCTTTTACGGAGTATTTCTTTAGTTTCATGGGCCGGCGGGTTACTCAACAACAAGATTCAAGCTTTATTCTCAAACAAATTTGATGTGTGCTGACATGAAATAGATCCATGATATCGGAACGCCAAAAGAAAGAACATAAGATAAAAAGGATAAGATACGGATAAATATAAGATAAAAAAGAACATAAGAAAAACAAAAAGATAGCAATAAAATAAAAACATTAGAAATTTAAAGAAAACAAACAGATAAAAGAAAACAAACAGATAAAAGAAACGACAGAGAAAAGAGATCAATCTTGGACTGCAAATATGCGATTAATCGAATTCTAATCACCTAGCGAATGCATTTTTGCCAAAATGATTCCTGGAGGACACCGTAGTCACCTATTCTTCTTCCCGCGAGAGGATGGCACATGGCGACCACCCCCCATCGCCTAGACGCCTAGTCGGCGCCTAGGCAATGCCGTAACAACTCTTAAAGATGTATGATTGTATGGTTATAAATTGTCATAGCAAAACTCCAGGATGATTCCATAGTAGTACTTATTAAGGTTCAATATTTTGAATCACATCTCTTAAAGTATTTATTATTCCATATGCTCGTTCAAACTAAGTTATTTATTATATATAAAGGAAAACTAAGATTGACAATATAGTCCCTGCAAATATGACACACTTTGTTTTAGACCCCTGCAAAATATTTTTCTTGTTTTTCATCCATGCGATATGCACTAGTTTGTTTTTAGTCCATAGTTAATTCCGAAACTACTCTACTTACAAAAAAAAAGTTACTGTCAGTGACATATATCTATTAGAAATTTTTAAATTTGTCCTTTATAATTTTTTGAGGCTAATATGAGAATTAAAACAATGCAAAACTAAGTATTCACATTTTAAAAATATATATAAAAATCTTCCAAAAAATAAAATTAAATACTTTTTAAATAACAAAAAATTAGAGGAAATCTATTAATCGGGGTTATTTTGAGGTCAAACGGAGGTTGTTATCATCAGTGATGGACTAAAAAGAAAACCAACATAAATTACAGGGATGAAAAACAAAAATAAATTTGCATGGATGTAAAACAAAATGTACTATATTTACAAAAATTAAATATATACAAAAACTAACTTAAAACGAATTGTTCGACCTAGATTTTGAATCTAACGATAGCTTAACAAGCTTTGAACTCAAGCACGAGCAAGATTTAAAGTTCAAATAATTATTTGAGCCGAGCTTGAACATAGTAATGTTCAAATCGAGCCTATCGAAAACCCGCAAACTATAGAGGTAAATTATACACTACTTCCGCCCCTGAAATGTGTAAAAAATGTTGTGAACTACAATGTTCTTTACCAAAGAGGGAAAAAGAAGATTATTTTGGAACGGACGAAAAAGGAAATTTGGATGATAATTCAGACAGAGGGAGTATGTGTTACTATTTAAACATCCTAAGTGTGATTTCATAAATTTAAATATGTTTTGCAAATGAATCGAGCACTTGTAGAGTCATTCGAGAATGGGCCTATTATCAAGTATAAGGTAAAATTCTACATCTAGGAATATTTATCAATATTATCAAGCGCTCCATTCAAAAATCAAACATCTACCGATTTGAGGACAAAACCTAGGAAAGAGAAACATAAAAAGGTAATTGATGAGTAGTAATACTTATCAAAGCAAATAATTGGGTGTGTAAGAATATAATTGAATGGAGTAGATGATTAACATGTTTAGTTTTCTCCCAAGAAGAAAAGGAATAGGAATCATAGGCTCCTAGTGTTGTTGTCTGACCCAGAGGTCCTGGGTTCGAATCTTGGGAGCGGCCTATTCTCAATATAATAAGGGAAGGTTTCCTCTGAATACACCCTTATGGTGGTGGGACCCTTCCCTGAATTGCAAGAACACCAACGTGCACCAGACTGCCCTTTTTAAAAAAAGAGAACCTTGATATGAAACATCCGAAAAGGTATGTGAAACCCTTAAATAAGCACTAAAAGCAATTGAGGTGTTTAACCAAACATGTATTTGTACTAGCAAGGTTGTTAAACTCGCGATCCAACTCCCAGTATCGTACGATTTTATGATCAAAAAAAGGGAGGTGCAGCTGGACCGCTGCTGGGATCGCTGGACTGACGAGTAGAAACGTAACTCGTTCGAATCGTCGATCTATCCGAGCTGCAACTGTGAAGTTCAAAAACAGGAAACCAAAGGCTGACTGAAGTCTGGAACGACAAGTTTAAAAGAAAAGAAATCACAACTTATGATGAAGGAGCCCAAGTGCCTGCGAAGTTAATCTTCCCTGGTTCGTCCGCTCAAAATCAATCTTCTACTTCGTTTTCTTCATCTCTAGTTCTCTACTCTTGCAGTCTTACTCCATCTGCTTCATCCGCTTAATCTTAATTTTTCTTCGTCTCTGTTTTTCATCTCTAGCGAGTAGCGATTAAGTAAAGTCACAACTGGGTCGGCGAGAGTAAACAGAAAAGGTGCTGTTGGGAGTGATGTTTTGGATTTTATCTTTGAACTTCTTATTGTCATATGTTTTGCAATTTATCTTTGAACTCGTTATGTTTAAGTGTTTTATATTATTGCCTTGAGTCTTGATATTATGCTGTTATTATTATTATTAAATATTAATATTAATTCGGTGTTTACATAGAATTGAAATATGTGTGAGTGTGTGTGTGTGTGTGTTGCACGGTAGGATCTAACGGTCCGAGTTACGATCCCGAGTTACGATCTCCTAGACCCCTTCCGATCTGTGCTAGGATCTCGAGTTTAACAACCTTAATGTGTAGGTAAAGGTATAGATATATGTAGGAAATACTATTTACCCACACATATCCTAAATGTAATGATGTGTGGTTATCCAACAATAGGTAAAAGATATTGTCGACACATTGCATTATTTGCAAGTAATAATTTATTATTTACCTACACATGCGTGAGTGGGTGAACCATTATAGACTCTGGCATAGAAGTTTGAGGCAGAACTCCACAATAAGAAAATGAATTTAGAACTTAATAGCACCAAAGATCAGATACTCACTTGATCCACGAGAAGAGACACATTTGACCCAGCTGCAAGTGCAACGACTTTAAATTTGTCGGGGTTCTCAGCAACTATGTCCAGCGTCTATAATCCATAAACTTAAACCGTAACCAACAATATATACAAACATGCATAAAAGATCAAATAAAAACATAGCTTATATTCAACCTAACAATTAAAGGATGATTAATATTGCATGATAGAATAATGGGATCATTTTTACATGTGTAAAAGACGATATATTCAACACAACATTCAAAAAGGAGAATAGATGCATCACAAGTTCACTAAACATATATGCCCAGATTGGTAATTATCTCTTTAAATAATGGCACCTATGTTACTAATTTTATTTTTGTACAAATAAGAAGCCATATTAGAACTGAATGAGTCTCAAATGCCATTAAATTCCCTAAACCCTAAATTTACTACTAATTTACACTTTTCCAGATGGTCAGAGCCTTCACAGCCACTTCTGTTAGACCTAGCAAATCTTCCTCTCCTATAGGTCTTTAGTGATTATTATTCGTTAGTGTTGCTCCCAAGTTCTTCTCTCAGAATAAAAGCCACTGATGCTCAATATCAGCAAGGAGGCTAATTGATTTTATTTTATTAATATACATAAGCACTCAGCTATTTACATTAGTTGTCAACGGTTTGAAGTTGGTGGTTATATTTATAGCAGCTTTTACGACCAACTTTTACTTCAATGGTTTATATTAGTTATTTTCACCAATGTTTACTTTAATTGTTTATGCGAAGGAGTTTAGTAATAGAATAATGGCAATTTGTTGTTAACTGTTTGAAGGTATAAATTATAAAACAAAAAACTTCCTCCATAAGATGTCTAAAGACGGTGGTCTTTTTCTGTTAGTGTCATCTATAATAAATTGTCTATATGTATAATTTATATGCCCCAAGAATTCTTATTTTTTATTCCTAAATCAACCAGCAAAATCGAGAAGTTGAGCTGATTTGAATTCTTTTCCTAGCACAAAAAATAACTTTTTAGAATGGTCAAAAAACTAAATCGTGAAAATGCTAAAATCTTTTCAAAATTTCTTTACAAAACAGGGCCATACTCCTAATGAAAGAAGGGAGATTTACCTTAACAAGACTAAAACATTGCTTTTTCCCCAAAATAGGAGCACCTAGTTTAAACATCCTTAAATAGGAGTTTTTATTTGTGATTGGATCAAAATACCCTCATAGCCTTTACCACTGCTGCCCCAGGACTCGCCGGACCGCTGTAAGCCGCCTGCCTGCGGCCGGCGGCGCCGGAGTTCGCCAAAGCCCCGGAATCCGCCGCCGTTTCCGCCACCACCGAAATGCCCCTGCTACCAACGGACTGCCTTGGTTGTGCAAGAGAACTAGGGGGGAATTAATTGGGTTAATTAATTAATTCAATTAGGGGTAAAAATGAATGTTTAGTCCTATTTAGGGAAAACCAAATATAAGTCCTATTTTGGGAAAAAGCCTATGTTTTTGTCTAAGCCATGGCAATTTTCTCATGAAAGAAAGCTACAAAGTGATCATTCATAAAGTTATTCCTAATAAGACATACAAAAGTTTGGTTTTGTTTGGAAAATAAAGTTGAAGCAGCATGACTTTTCATCACCTAATTAAACAACAAAACTTTTTTCTGTTATGAATTGAAGATTTAAGGTTCAGCACTGTACCTGAGTTCCAATGGAACCAGTTGAACCAAGAATAGAAATAGGCTTTGGACCATCCCAACTCTTTGGAATGTGTTCAGCCACTGCACTTCCTGGCCAAGCAGGAGGAGATGTCTTTATCACACACTCAACTCTCTTTCCAAAATTTCCACTGCCTTTTGTTCTTTTTATTGAAGCCTCACCTAAGGTAAATATAAAAAATCAACAAAAAGGCAAACACTTTAATCTCTAACTCATATTCCTAATATTAATAAAAATGGGAAAATGTCAATTTAGTAACTCTACTTCTCTCCCTAAGTATTTCAACTAGTTTCTGTATTGCTATGGTACTTCTGTCAACAAATAATGTTATCGAACATTTTATCTTTTAATTGTTTTTAGAACTCTTTGCAAGTTTAAAAATCAAATATCTAAGTTTAATTTATATTCCAATTTTTACTTTAATTGTGTATTTCATTTCATAGGAAAACCCAGCACAGTTTGAAAATCATAATAAAGACAAAATCATTTGTAATTAAAAAACTTAATAAAAAATTACAAAATTCTTGATGTGATTTGAAGAACATGTTACATATTACATTAATATATATAGAGTCCCGTTCCTGTCAGGCCGGCCTGACGGGAACCGCCGTCCGGCAGAGGGCATTTCGGGCACTTCCCGATCGAATTTTTTGATGAATTGTTTTTAGCATGTTCTTCATCAAGTCTAGTTTGTCCATACCAAATTTCAGCTAAAAAATCAATCGGGAAGACAGTCAAATAAATTCTTTACAAACACTTCGCTTTATATATATAAACAGCGCAGTTTTTGTAAAGAATTTATTTGACTGCCTTCCCGATTGAATTTTTACCTGAAATTTGGTATGGATAAACTAGACTTGATGAAGAACATGCTCAAAAAAATTCATCAAAAAATTCCACCGGGAAGGTTCCCAAATGGCCTCGACCGGACGGCAGTTCCCGTCAGGCTGGCCTGATATGATCTGCCATCAATATATATATATATACACACACACACACATACATACATATATATTATCAACTAATTTGCAAATGAATGTAAAAGATGAGTGCGAATAAAATGAACTCTTTGAGAATTTATATAAACTTTTTGAAGAATATAGAAAAAATAAAACAACAACATCTAAGCCTTGGCTTAAAAAGATATTGAGGTCGGCTAACATGAATGGATATATGATATTAGAGCCAAAATGAAAATAAATATAAGCAACATAAGGCAAGATAAAGATAAAACCAAATATATAAGATAAAGATAATAATAAGATAAAATGATTTGAAAGAATATTTACAAAATAAAAAAAGATACAGAGATAAAGAAGATAAAAAGATAGGATAAAGAAGATAAAAAACAGATCAATCCGCCACAAGAATATTTTCCCTCAACTTTACTCTCTCCAAAGTCATACTCTCATCCAATCCAAGAAGCAACATATCAATCTTACTTCTCTAATCCATGACTGTTCGTTTCATCCTCTCCCTCTCCTCCCCGCCTCTTCTTCCTATCTTTTAGCTCGTCTAACAGGTGCATCACTAGAGACTCCCTCATCTAATCTTTAATATGTGTTACTCCCACCTTTTGTTTGATTGTCTCGTTTCTCAAGCAGTGTTTTTTAGTATGTCCAACATATAACGCAACATGGCAATAACACAAATCAAACACCACTGAAATACTACAGGGGCAAATTTCAAGCTACCAACTCCAACAGAAGCAACAAAAGTTTCAATTTCAGATTTAAGGCTTCGATATATTACAGTTTTGGGTTTCTTACACACACAAACACACACACACACATATATGCAACGCCCCACTCAGAGTAAAGGGAATACGATACAATTACTCACTAATTCAAAGACTAAAAATACAACAGTGGTTCTCTCTAGAAAATAAATCTCAAAAAAATGACTTGATAAATAAAACTAAAATAACAAATTGTTCAAACATGGACAAATTACTAAAATAATACAACCACCTGGATCCAGGATTTACTAATATTAAATACTACGTAAAAAGGACTTTGTACTCAAAGTACAAATCAAATAAAATTAAATAAAAGGGACTTTGTACTCACTTAACTGGGCGCGATAGAATAGGCAGTTAGTATTTAACATAGAGAGAAAGGATGACTATTTTAGAATGAAAAATACTATACATTATTTGAACATTTCAGATCGTGAATTACTTATGTGTTTGAGCTCATTTTTCTTATTGTATCAAGTACTTTATCTCTTTTATTATATTATTGATTAATCATAATTAATAGTCTTGGTTAAGCTTTACCTTTTATTCAAGGAAACAGACATATACTCTCAACTAGATTACACAGGGGATGAAATTACAACTAAAGTGATTTACAGAAGCAAAGAATATAATCATTTAAATGAAACTTAGAAATATAGCAGATTTCGGAGCTCACAGCATATTCCGCTGGAGCTGGAAAGGCAGAACCGTGTCAGTGTATGAGCTGAAACACATTTTCCACATACGCCGCCAGAGCTGAAAAGGTACATCCATGTTGCTATAGTGTTAATATGCGGCAGATTTAGGTCTTTAAAGACGAATAAAAGCGTAAGTCTCACAAAGATACCTGCGAGAGAAGTCAATTGAGAGACAACTCGAAGATCCAACCATAGACATCTGCAATCCTGACTGATATATAGCAGGGGACACACGAGGAATATTTGTAAGGGGCTGATGAGAGTAAGAGATGAGAGGTAGATAGGATTATAGGAAGATGATTTCTAGTGAAAACTAATACAAATTAAGGACATGTTTGTGTCTATATAGCTTTCAAAATCACACAGACACACATTTTATACATAATAATAAAAACATATTAACACAAACTGGAAAGATACCACAAAGATAGAGTGCAAAATTCAATTAAAAATGATTTGTTAATGTGGGGATTCCAGAAGGACCGAAGTAATGATTTTACAACAGACGAAACATTTCGGAAATGCAGAGAATGTGTGACAAAAACACTTAATGTTCATACAGTGCAACAAAAACACAAAATGGGGAAATGAAAGAACGGTTAAGAAGGAACCTCAACAACACCGTCTAAGCTGATCTATTCACTGCTGATAAGATATAAAGGCAATATGTAAGAACAAAGAAAACAAGATACGACAAAATAATAAGAGAGTTAGTTATAATCGACTAACCTCAATCTATTAGACGAACGGCGTGGAGTAGACTGCGACCTAAGTGGAAGGTAGATACCGTATATTGGGTTGGGTATTGACGGTGTGAATGGAGGAGATGGAAACGGAGATATAGCGTGCGACAGTCTGGAAGAGATGAGCGGTAGAGAATGAAGATCGGTCGGATGTGTTCAGCCACTGCACATCCGGGCAAGCAGGCGAAGATGCCTTTATCCCACTCTCAGTACTCTTTCCAAAATTTTCGCTACCTTTGTTTCTGTTTATGGAAGCCCGGCCTAAGGTAAATATAGAAAATCAACAAATAGGAGGCTATGTTTAGTAACATAGATAATTTTCTACTTTTCTTCAATTTTTTGTTTTGCCCTGAATTTTTCTCTCTCCAATTCTATGTTTACTAATTTTAGTTTCCATTTTGAAATCTCAAAAAATGTTCATCAAATTTTTTCATCACGTTCTATAACTGATCAGAAGATCGAAAGTGTGGTCCCAGTTCGGATCCGAACATAGTGCAACCCAAGTAGGGTCCCAGATCTCACGTATAGGAAAGTCGGTTAGTTTGACTAAGGGGGTGTTTGGAATCAATTCTGATTCTGCTTCTTTTTTAAAGTAGAAACAGAATCAGAATCAGTTTTCAGAAGCTGGTCCCCCTCAGCTTCTAAAAAAACTGATTCTAGGAGTAAATTAGAGCACCAGAATCACTTCTGCACTTTCACCCAAACACTCCAGCTTCTGCTTCTGCTCCCTAGAGAAGCAGAAGCAGTTTTAAAAATCAGATCCAAACACCCCCTAATTCCTTTCTCATTTCCATATCGATTGACTACACAACGACTGTTTTAAAACTTTTCACGATTTCAAAAAATCGAGGCCGAATTGTCGGGTCATTAATCGACATGACAGGGACTGTCGGGTCATTGTCGAGACCGCCCCGGGACCGTCCGACTATCGATCGGACCGAACAAAGACTGTCGATCTGAATCTTTCTGACTTGATCTTTGATCTTAATCTTGTCGATCTGGTCTGAATCTTTCAATCGATTTGAGTACAAGTACCTAGATTGAGATTTTTTTAATTTTTTATATTAATGTGGGTCTCGGCGCAAAACCTCTTTAATAAATAAATTTAACAATGTAAAAAAAATCTTATTATTATGATTGAATATGCAAGTAATTTTTTCAAAATGTCCAATAACAAGAAACTTATATAAAAATGCTAATCATCTCTCTTTTATTTTACAAGAAACTTTTGTGCATGATTAGTTATAACACATTAGGTTTACCGTATTTTTTAAATTACAAGAAACTAATGCGCCGAATTTCTTTATTGTAAGAAAATTTGATGTATTAAATCAATTATGTACACACATGATAGTTAAAATCACTGCGTAAAATCAATATTATAAGCCTTTTCGAAAATATGATAAATAATAAAGTAAAAATTGTGTAATTAAGATTTATACAAAAACATACTCCCTCCGGTTCTAAAATATTTTGAGACTTTGACTTCACAATTTTTAAGGAAATAAAATCGACTTTACTGTAGAGTACACTGTTTGACATTGTTTACATTGTTTTGTGTAGATTTATTTGCCAAATAAGACAAATATGAAAGTATAAAGATAATTGTGGTACTGATAAAAATGAAAAGTGCAGGGATCTCAAACCCCTGAGTAAATACGAATCAATGACTTAAAAAAGGAAACATGGATTTCGTATTGGCTAAGCCATTTTCTGTAAATGTTTGTGTTGAACCGGAAAAGTGTAAACGACTAAACGCGGCGAACAACCCTGTAAATGGAAACTTCGGTCACCTCGTCGATGCCCGGTTTCGACGATTGGGATCGTCCTTTCACCGATCTTGAACTCATTGAAATCGAGGCTGCATTTCAATCTGCCGCCACGAAGCAGCACGATCCCGTCAAGTCCTCCGACCACGATGTGGACAATGATGGTAGCGCCGACAAAAACTGCACCCGCAGCCGTTACCGGACACTTCCCGCCTCACTGTTTTCAAATTCACTCTATGTGTCTCCTTTCCCTAGACGTCGCTTTAAGAATAAATGTAATGGTCTTTATTCTCTAAACGCTCTTGTTTTTAAAATTCAAGCAAGTAGATTACTTCAACTTTATTATGACTGATTTGTGGCTATTGGGTTGTTTTAGCAAAGAGGTTGCCAGAATTAGCCTTCCGAGGGCGTGTTTTGTACAGCAGAACTTCAGTTGAGGCGGAAAAGTCTGCAGCAGAGCTTTTAAGTTTTATTGAAACCAAAAGGAAAGCAGGAGAGGTTGCTCTTGGACTTGACATGGAATGGAAACCCAGTTTCAAAAGAGGTTGGCATAACATTCCACTACGGCTAAATGGTCCATAGGACTGTGGGAAATACTAGAGAAAGATGATAGAGAATAAAGGATAGATTTTGAAGGAAAGAAAATGTAGAGAAAAGTAAAATATCGATTCTTTCATGTACTCTCTTTTGCTTGTTCATTAATAAAATTCTATTTTCCCAAAAAAAAATATCTGTCTATATATATTTATATACTCAGCATATAATACGGAGTGCTAAGCAATATAGACACATTTAAAAGTTTAGAAAACACGAATCATACCTCATCTTACTTTTCTTTTTTAGGTCAACTCAATTGTTTTTATAATTTTGAGAATATAATGTGCATGGAGATTAAGCCCTCATTGTTTAGCTGTTTAGTCTTTTCTCTAGCTAATGATGGCCACTTGGAGATCATCCCTTATTGGCTTTTCCCATGCAAATACTGCAAAATATTTTTGTGAAAATTGACTGTAAGTTATCTCTCAACAGCAAAGGTAAATCACAGTGGTCGATAAAAAAAATTCTATTCTATAACTGAACATCATGACGCCAAGATGGTAAATATCAACACAACACCCCAAATCAACCTATACACCGATTTTAATTAGATTCATCTTGACCTTAGTCGTGTTTTTTTCCTTTCCTTTATTTATTTGGGGAACATGATTTGGAAATTTTATTTTACTTCATAACTTGAGGTTGAAATATGGGAAACTCCCTTGTAGGTGTAGACGGTATTAGTGTTCATACCTGGGGGGTTACTTCTGCATGATATTTCTGGCCATTTAATTTTGTTTCAACTTTCAAAAAGTCAGAAGATCTTTGATCTGTAAAATATGCTTGTTGGGTTTTGAGAGGCTGTCGGGTTGGCCTAATATTAAATCCTTTGCTTGATCCGGAATACTAGAGAAACTATCGGTAAATAATTAGTAATGACAGACTCATTAGTTCCTCCATGCAGGTGTTGCCCCTGGGAAAGCAGCTGTTTTGCAGATATGTGGGGAAATGAGTCGTTGCTATGTATTCCATATATGTCATTCTGGAATCCCACAAAATCTGCAGGAACTTCTTGAGAGTTCGTCCGTTGTGAAGGTTATCATCTATTTATTCTAAAATTTGGTGTAAAGTGTAGCTTTTTTTAGTCACTCTGTGTGATTGTTCTTTGTTTGTTACCTTCATGCAACAAACATGTTTAGGTGGGCTCAAACATTGCAAATGATGCCCGCAAAATGTTCCTAGATCATAATGTATCTATTACAAATTTGGAAGATCTATCTGCGCTAGCCAATCTAAAGCTTGGTGTGGATCCCAAAAATTGGGGTCTAGCTTCATTGACTGAATCACTTCTTTGCAAAGAGGTATTGTAACAATGCATCCGTACACACACACAGCCACACACATGAAGTTATTTCCTAGAACATCAGTCTGAGCTGCAGAACAAGGTGAATTGTATAAAATATCAGTGATTCATCATCGTTTAGCAGCCTTCAATAACGCCCTCTATACTTCTTTTTTCTTTCCAACTAAAAGATCTTGCTTATCTTATTTTGTTTTATCAAGTGTCCTAGATGTTCTTGGTGTACCGTATTCTATGCTTAGTAAATATTATTTCCCCTAGTGTCAAATTTAATTGAGCATTTGGACATCTGTAGCTCCCTAAGCCAAGCCATCTCAGATTGGGAAATTGGGAGACTCGAAATTTATCCAAGGAGCACTTAAGTTATGCTGCCACAGATGCTTTTGTTTCATGGCACCTATATCAGGTAAACTAGAATTAGTAATTCCATTGCATCTTGGTTTCCCTTTGGAAAAGACAACATGATCAGCTTCAAATAGTTCTTTTTGAGATTTACAGGTACTTAGATCTTTTCTGGATTATTCTGCTTCAATAGAACAGCATTTTTTTATTAGGCAAAATGGATTCTACCAAGCACTTTATTAAGACGTTTCTGCTAAGTAACCCATATTGACAGACTAACAGTCAATTTAGTCTTTATATGGGTATAATAGAAATATGTAAATAAAGTGAGTGAAGGAGTGAACAAATATTTAAAATTGATTCGTTGAGTTTGAACCATTTCTTTAATTCCCCCTTAAATATTTTTTCCAAATTTCCCCTCTATCTTCCCTATTTATGTCCCCTATTAAATATTGAGGCGTTTACTTCGCTGCTAAAGACACAGTTAGGTTAGCAAGACAGGTGAAGTAAACACGCAAGTTGCTTAAATCGCTGCTTACTAATCGAAAGAGATGCTTAAAGTGCCGCTTACTAAGCATACCAGTCCCCCATGTATTAATTAAGCGGCACTTTAAGCTTTTTCATTTTCCGAATTTACCCTTACCTTTACCCCTTGCCCTTACCCTATTGCTACCCAACTATCCCTCCCTACCCCACCTTATCCTGACCCCACCCTGACCCCCACCCACCCCACCCTTGACCCGACCATACCCCACCCCCACCTGCCCTACCCCACCCCCTCACCCCTTACCCTACCCCTGTACCCCCTACCACCTTCCCCTACCTTGACCCGACTCCACCCCTACCCCCGCCCCTACCCCTTTACCCCCTACGCCCACCCCCACCCTTGACCCGACCAATACCCTGCCCTACCCTACCTTACCCCGACCCCACCCTGACCCCACCCTTGACCCGACCATACCCTACCTGCCCTACCCGACCCCTCCCTAACCTACCCCACCCCCACCCCTTACCCCTACCCCTGTACCCCCTACCACCTTCCCCTACCTTGACACGACCCTGACCCCACCTACATCCGCCCCTACCCCTTTACCCCCTACCCCCACCCCCACCTTTGACCTGACCATACCCCACCCCCACCTTACCCCTACCCTCCACCACTTGACCTACCCCACCCCACCCCCACCCCCACCCTCACCCTTACCCCTTCCCCTACCTTGACCCGACCCCGACCCCGACCCCACCCCTACCGCCGCCCCTTTCCCTACCACGACCCACCCCTACCCCCGTACCCTCCACCACCTGCCCTACCCCACCCTCACCCATTACCCTACCCCTTTACCCCCTACCACCTTCCCCTACCTTGACTCGACCCTTACCCCGACCCCCCACCCCTTGTCCCTACCTCGACCCACCTCTACCCCACCCCCACCCTTGACTCAACCATACCCCACCCCACCTTACCCCTACCCCTACGAGTTGGGGGGTTGGTATGGGTGGGAGTAAGGGTGGAGGGTAAGGTCGTGGTAAGGATAGGGGGTAGGGAAGGGGTGGGGGTCAAGGGTGTGGAATTGGGGGTAGGGTGAGGGGTGGGGGTACAGGGCAGGGTAGGGGTTAGGGGTGTGGGTAAGCGACTAAGCGTACGAGGGGGACCCCATATATTATATTATATACCTGTGTTAATGAATGTTTGTGTGTGTATATATCTATAGGGTTATTTTGGACATTTTAATGTTAAACGGTGTTTTAAATTCTTTGAAGTAAACAAGAGCTTACAACACTGCTTAGTTTATGCGCCGCTTATTAATGTGAGTCTTAATAAGCATCATTTACTAACCCGTGAAGTAAATGTGTCCTTAATGTTCTCCCTTGTCTTCTCTGCGGAGATACCTCCTTTGTTATAGGTGTTGAAAAGCCTTCCTGATGTCGTTGATGATAGAAGCAATGAACCAAAGCACGTGGATAGAGAGTGAGTTTGTTTTCCAACCATTAGGTTCGGTCCAACCAGCTCCCTTGGTGCTATTATTATGTATTCAATTGCAAAAGCCAATCTTTTCTTGTGAAGAGGCACAAGAGGATCAATGGTCCAATGAGGTACTTATTGCGCAGCTAATACACCCTGAATCATATATTATGGGGGGAGTGGCATCAGTTGATTAGTTCTTACATATTTGTTTGGTTTATTATGTTATAAGAGATGGGGTCCCTTTTATTCGGTTCCCTAAAAGTTTCTCTTTTGAAATCAATGCTTGTGTTGTAAAGAAAAAAATTCGTTATTAGAAGCCTTGTTTAAAGGCGATTTTAGGCGGGAGGTTTAGTTTGAGACATATAAGTTCCTTATTACAACACCATGCATGATGTTGGGCATTCAAATTGATACAGGCAAGTTCTTCTTTACAGAGACGTTCACCAGACACCAGATGTGTTATTGTCGGAAGTGTTGGAGGAATTCAAATTGATCTTGGGCATCTCCAAAATGTCAAGCGGCATTGGATGATCTTGCACAGTAGAGCTACAGAAGATTGAAACATGTCACCCATTAACTAACTCCATTATTGTACTTCATGTTTATTTTGTTTTTGATGTTGAAAGCTTGCTATTTGAAGTTGAAGTTATTATCCTTTTCTTTGGCGGACTGTGTTGGTTCATTGGATTATATTTGACCTCGTTGGATAAGCCACATTATTTGGATAACATTATTATCTTTTTTAAGAAAATGTTGTTTGTACACGTAAAGTTATAAATGTCATTGTACACGTCGGTCCGGTCGAATTGTCTGTGCATAGATATTTTTTTATCGTTTTATAAAAATGATCGTTTTTCGCATTGATATTTTTTCTCTGTGTCACAACCAATTTTTTTGGGTTCGAAAAATAATTCTCTTCACAAAAAAGAAAATAAATGTTTGTGCATAGATAATTTGATCGGCGTGTAAAATGATATATAGAATAAACGTGTATATTAAACATGATTGTCTTTTTTTATGGACGTGAATGTACTATTCCTATTTCCTCACGTTCATTGAAGAGGCTGATGTTCCACCCACCCCTCTGATGCTGCCATGTGGCATGTGAATACTTTTTAGTTTTGTAATTGTTATAATTTTTTCATTCATTATCCAATTTTTTTAAAGAATATGTACACAAATTTACTTTTAAATGATCTTTCATATAATATCAATATTGCATATTTTAAAAATAAAAAAGACTAAAAAATATACTTAGAAAAAATATTATTTTAAATTTTTATATACAATATTAGTACCATTAGAAAAATGATAAAAGAATAAAAAATGGTATTTAAAAAAATGGATAATAAATGAAATAATTATAACAATTGTAAAACTAAAAAGTATTGAGATGTTCCATGCCAACGCCATTAGAGTGGGGGTAAACATCACCCCATTGAGGGTGAACAAAATTACTATCAGAAAAATAGCCCTAAATACTATAATTATTAGCTAAATATATCCTCAACTATCATTAAATTTAGAAATCTATCTCATACTTTGACTTTTATTAAAAAAAGATTCAAATTTCAATTTTTTTCACAATTACACTCTCAATAGATGAATTAGTAAAAACTTAAGAAGAAAATCATATTTATATTTCATATTTTTCACTTCTTTCTAGTTAAGTTTACAAACTTGTATTACTTACTACCTCTGTCCCTTAAAACTTTGCCAAAGTTGACCGGCACGGAGAATAATAAAGTAAAAACTGTGTGGTTGAGTTTTGTGCAGAGGAGAGAGAAATAACAGAAACCACAAAATAATTGATTAAAAGGGAAAGTGACAAAGTTTTTTGGGACGTCCCAAAAAGGAAAGATGGCAAAGTTTTAAGGGACGGAGGGAGTATGTCTTATTGGCATTGATAAAATTTGTAATTTTGAAAAAAATAACAAAGAAGAAAACCATAATGGTTGAAAAAAAAGAAGTTTGAGCCTTTTTTTATAAAAGTTAAAGAATGAGATGAATTTGTGAATTTGATGATAGTTTGAGATAAAATAAGTTGATGATCCTAAATACTGAAATAGGAGTAACTAACCGTTAAATGCACAAATAAAATTATGTTGTTTATCTGCCTAAAATAGGACTAAATTATGATATATCTTCCCATTCTAGGGCAAAATAAGAAAAATACCACAATCTCTGAAGGGTTTGAGGTAAACACCCCAAACTTCCATATGTAGAATAAATATCCCAAATTTTATATAAAAAGTCATTTTTCGCACCATTATCATGTATTATTTCTTTCAAAAATATAAATTTATGGGGTTAATTGCATAATTTAAAATAACAAATTTAAAGTGTTGCAATTGTATAGATTGGGGGTAACATTATTTATTTCTCAATGAAAGTTTGGAATGTTAATTGTGTCTTCATGAATTCTAAAATATTTTAAATTATGTAATTAACGCAATAAATTTACATTTTCAAAGAAATAATATCCGACTGATGGAGTATATGGGTCTAGGCCCCAGGACCCACATACTCAGAACAGAAAGCACAGCCACTACGCGATGCCCTCGTCGGCCAAAGACCCTCGTCGGCCAAAGAAGGACCAACTCAGAATATGATCCTGGAGCCAGGAAACCAGGGTGTCCTCGTCGGCCGTGCCCTCATCGGCCGTGCCCTCATCGGCCAAGACCCTCGTCGGCCACGGAAGTCTCACAGAACCGGATTTTACACTTATTCATTTATATAGCCCACCAGTGGCTCTGTATTCGGCCCAATAGCGGTCCAGTTGTAAATGGGCCTCCCAAGCCCAAGGCTTGGGAGCCCAGCCCGTATTTTTCCTATAAATACTTCCTCTCGAGATAGTTATAGGAGTTACAAAATCATTCTATTGAAGCATTACTTGCACTTCTCTCTCTAGCTCTCACTTCTCTCTAGATATATACTCTATCATTTGGTGCTCTCGTTGAGAGCTAGAACAATCAAGTTAGCACCCTTCGTCGCTACCAAGCACAGCTAACCACTGACCATGGGAAGAACTAAGTCAAACCGCAACCTCGTCAGCAGGGCCATCCCTGAGGATCAGGAGACTAGGGAGCATGAAGAGGACGCTACGGCCGACCCAGGTCGGCGGAGGGGACGTCTTCCAGGAGGCCATCAACCTCACGACGGACCTCCGCAACCAACTCAACGGCGAAGCCCCTGATGCCCGCATCGGCCTGGACAAGAAACGACCTGAGAAGACAGACCACACCCCGGCCCAGCCTAAAGCCGCGGCTTCTCCGTCTGTGGATCCATAGGTCCAGGCCGCGCTGTCGGTCATCATCGCCAGTTTGGCCCAGAACCCCACCGTCCTCAGCGCACTCTTGCCAAGGACTGGGGGGAACGTCACTCCACCTCCCCAGCCCCAACCGTTGGCCGTCAGGATAGGCAACGCTGAGGGGGTGATGGCCCAGGACACGGCGTCGTCCCACTCCCACCCCGCTTCCCCTCTTCGGCCTGGGCAGACCCCAGCGCGTGGAAAAGCCTCTGCCTTCAATAGGCTAGGTGACACGCGCCGTCGTCCGGTTTCGGAGAGGATGACAGGGTGGATTGGTGAGCGTCGGCCTGGCTCGCCAAGGGAAAGCTTGGGGTCTGTGTCCCGGACAGCGGACCAGCCCCGCCCGGACAAGGGCAAAGGAAAGTTGCACGAGGATGACGGGCGCCACCAGATCAACGCGGCCCACGACGAGCGCATGAAGAACCAGCAGGGCGCCGTTGCGGCCGCTAGGGATCCCCGGGATGAGGTCATCGCCTAGCTGGAAAGGAGACTGGCCCAGATGGAGGCCAGGCAATCGGCAAATGTCCCTACGGCCGGCGCCTCCAACGACCCTGGCCTCAACGCCCTCATGAACAAAGTCAGCGCCCTTGAGAGGGAGTTGGCCGAAGGGCGAGGTGACCCCATCATCCAGGTCAGGACCAGGACCCCTTTCACTAACAGGGTGCTCCCAGCTCCCATCCCGGAGAAGTACAGGGGAAACGTCATCAAATCCTACGATGGCCGATCAGACCCCCAGGAGCACTTCAGCCGCTATCAGAACAACATGCTGATGGTGAACGCGTCGGATGAATATCTCTGTCGTTGGTTCTTCTCTACTCTTGAGCGGCCAGCGTACGAGTGGTTCAACGCGCTCCCCGAAGGAAGTATTGACTCATGGCAAGACCTTGCCCAACGCTTCCTCACCCACTTTGCCAGGAGGAAGCGCGCGAAGAAGTATTTCACACATCTCCTCTCCGTCAAGCAGCAACATGACGAGCCCCTCCGGTCGTTCATTGATCGGTGGACGAAGGAGACCGAAGAAGTCGAGGGGGGCGATGAGCGCACCCTCTTCGTCCTATACCAGGGAGCCCTCCGTAGCTCCCCGTACGCCAGGAGCCTCATCACCGACCCTCCAAGGTCGTATGCGAAGGCGCTTCAGCGCGGGAGCTTGTACGCCGACGCCGACGAGCTCCACAACCACAAAAAAGAGGGAGGCCATCCTTCCAAGAAGACAAATCCTTCGTCGGCCCTGGGACCATCCCTGGCCGGCCAGGGTGCCCAGGGCCGTCACGGCTCTGGTGGACAAAGCAAGAAAGACCGCCACTGGCGGCCGAGGTTGGAACGGCCGGGGTCCCCCTCACCCACCCGGTCAGCACCATCCTCGACTACGCCGAGAAGCATGGCCTCATTGAGCAGGCTCCTCGGCCGGCCGAGGAGGTCCTTGCCATCAAGCAGGGCGGCACATACTGCCGATTTCACAAGAACTCCTCGCACAACACCGACGACTGCATCATGCTAAAGAAAGCCATCGAGCGCCTTATTCGTCAGGGGGAACTCTCAAAATTTGTTAAAGGTGGCCCACGCAAAAATACGTGAGTAAACACCGGCAAACCTGGGGGCGAACCCTCTACGAAGAAGCGGGAGATCGGCAGGCTCAGCGACGACGAGGACTTTGAGAGACTCCGCCAAAGAAGAACCATATTCACCTCATTGTAGGTGGGAACACCGGGAGGTTTACATTGGGGAGGTGTCCCACGTTCCCCTCCAGCCGAAGAAGCAGCGAATGGAGGCGATCACCTTCACCGACAAAGATCTGCCTCCGGGTACGGAATCACATAGGGACGCCCTCGTCATCCGGTGTGAGATCGGTGACTCCATCATTCAACGCACTTACATCGATATGGGGAGCTCCGTCAATGTGATGTACCTGGACACCTTCAGGCAGCTGAAGCTGGACAAAGCTCTGCTGAAGCCGATCAAGACACCGTTGTCCGGTTTCACCGGGGACTCTATCGACGCCGAGGGCACGATAGTCCTCCCCGTGGAGGTCGGCGACAGCCCCACCGCGCCAAAATTGACATGGAGTTCATGGTGGTCAACCTCCAGTGCGCCCACAACCTGATCTTGGGGCGGCCAACACTGGAGGACTTGGAGGCCATCATCTCCATGAAGCACTTGTGCCTGAAGTTCCCCACCAATAGCGGCATCGGCTACGCCAGAGGAAACCAGAGGATAGCCAGAGCATGCTACCTCAAGCTAACGAGGCCGGCCGAAAGGGAAGGACAGAGGATAGACACCATCACGGCAGCCGTTGCCAAGAACGAGGAGAGGCCGCACGCCGAACCGGCCGAGGAGGTCGAGGAAGTCCCTCTGGATACCTCCCGGGCGGAGCGGGTCCTCAAAATCGGGAAGCAACTCCCACAGGACCAGCGGGACGCCATCCTCCTCGTCCTACGGTCATACGCCGTTATCTTCG